TGATCAAGACGAAGATCCCTAGAAGAGTATTTCTATACTAATCGTATACATGATGATGTGAATGCCGTGGGTGAGGAGGATGCATCATCGGGTGAGGGTTCGGACATTGATAAGGATGATGGGCCTGACGGCCCGAACTCCCGCCAGCTAGTGACGGAGGTATAATTTAAGTTCATCCACCAAACCGTCGCATCATCGGGGCGCTAGGGCGCCTGACAGCTGCACGGGCGGGGTCTGGTGACACTCGGGCGCTGGAACCTGGGTTGGGCGATGTCGGAATCTGGACGCGCGCTTGGGGCCGTGGCCTTGTGAGGGTATTTGGGGGCTGTCCGAAAAAATCAGCCCGAACGCTTGACTTTGGGCCGGGGCGCTAGGGTGCCTGACAGCTGCACGGGTGGGGTCTGGTGACACTCGGGCGCTGGAACCTGGGTTGGGCGATGTCGGAATCTGGACGCGCGCTTGGGGCCGTGGCCTTGTGAGGGTATTTGGGGGCTGTCCGAAAAAAGTCAGCCCGAACGCTTGACTTTGGGCCGGGGCGCTAGGGTGCCTGACAGCTGCACGGGTGGGGTCTGGTGACACTCGGGCGCTGGAACCTGGGTTGGGCGATGTCGGAATCTGGACGCGCGCTTGGGGCCGTGGCCTTGTGAGGGTATTTGGGGGCTGTATGCAAAAAATCAGCCCGAACGGCTGCATTCCAGTTGCATTCATGATTGCCGTACTCAGCCTCAGGTGTGATCCCTGGCCAGGCCATGTGGTCAGTCAAGGTCATGCATTCCCCAACCATGCTGTTTGAAATGTTCACAGCTTCTTGTAAATAAACAGGCAACTCACCAGCGAGATGTACCTGTGGCATATCAACACTCATTTCATGCACACACACGCAGCAGGATCATCCAGTATGCACCCATTCAGTATCCCATCACTCTCCCCAAACAGGAAGTCCTAGATTAACCCTCAGTTCACTTGGTCTGATTCCTGTTAGACCCCCCACGCTGTCTCTGTAGCAAAGCCGCGAGCTTGGCGCCCCTTCCCAGGCGTTGGCTCTGGCCGCCCCTGTTCCCCCGCTGGCCACCCCCTGTTGCTTGCTCGGCCCCCTTGGTTGGCTGCTTGCCGCCCCTGGTGGGCTGCCGGCGTGTCGATCACTGATGTCCCAGACAACATTCGAGTCCTGAAGGCAGTCCACTGCGGTGGTTCGGATGCTGAACTGCTTCCGGCAGGTTCCGCATTAGTGAACGGGAACCTCCAATTCAATAGGCTGGTCCCACGTCACCACGGTGATCGGACAAGACAGTGGTTTGCCGGAGCTCTCAGCCCGGCACGTAGGGCAGGTACTGATGTCCGCTGTGGCGACTGCATTCCTGAACGTGACCCCCGCCTGATGAAGCAGATTCTTACGTGATGTAACGGTTTTGTGGACGAACTAAAAGTATACCTCTACCACTAGCTGGCGGGAGTTCGCGTCCTCACTGAGGATCATGGGCCTGGCAGGCCCATCATCCTCATCGGTGTCCGAACCCTCACCTGATGATGCATCCTCCTCACCCACGGCATTCACATCATCATGTATACGATTAGTATAGAAATACTCTTCTAAGGGACCTTCGTCTTGACCAGGCTGCATGTGGAGCAAGGGCACATGTTCATTGGTGGCGGCGTTTTCCGCAGTTTCTTTCTGTGCCTTCGCTACTATTTCTGGTCTTCATAAGGGCAAATTTTGTTTTCGATGGCTTCTGGGCTACGGGCAAGTAATTGTTGATACCGCTATACATGACAGCACAACTACGGCCCAGTATACTTGAATAACATTTCTTTATAGTGGAGGACAGCACCGGGGTATGGATTACAGAGAAGGAACGGTTCGGGGAGTACGTTTTGAACCTTCGTTCATCATTACACCTAATAAGCTTGCAGCTTTTACAGCATCAGAACGTTTTGGAGCTGCTGAAAAAGTACCAAACAAAAATGCAAATTGTTGCGATTTTGACGGGGAGGGTTTACGTTCCCCGTGTGAGGCCTTGCGCCGTTCGTTTTGGGGTCCCCGTTCCATGACTCTCACGTGCACGGGGACCTCGCCATAGCTCTCAGCGCTATGAACGCAAGGGGTCTGCTCTTCCCAACGCAAATCGCCGTTCACTCTGAACTGCGACGCGCGGCAGAACCGTCAGCGAAGGAGCCCAGCAACTGCTTACACGAGAATATGTCATAATTCACACACCCATGTTGCAGTGGGCCGCCTGTTCGCGAAACATTTGCAACATGGGCTAACCTATATTCACTGATATTGCTATCGGTCACATTTCCGTTTAATTCACATCAAACTGCTACAAACCGTCGTCAACGCTTCAGTGCAATGGTCAGTCACCGTGATAACTTTGAATTCTGTCAAGTCAGGCGCGCCGTAGGCTCCGTGTGCGAGCGCAGCACCAACGTACGGGAAAAAAACATGTCGCTTGTGCTTATATACCAGAGGTACAGGTTCAGGAGTGTTGATCGCGCTCCACTTCCCCGCACCACCTATCAGTGATTCACCGCCCACGCTCGTCTTGCTCTCTCACATTCAAAACCAGGAAAAAAACATTACACGGTTTGCATCACGGTTCATGTCCAACAACGATAAGGTTATACGTCCAACAACACTCATGCGTGCACATGATCTGTTCTCTAAAACCTTGCCACTAGCTCTTGGCAGGCACGTGAAGTACACTTAAATAATAAAATCCACGCCTAGAGCCGAGCCACATGGGAGCAAGGCTCCGCGTCCGTCATGGACCTCGCACCTGCCATCCAAACGGCGTTATCCCTAGCAAGGTCGCTAAAACCAACATTTAAAGAATGAAACATCCGAAAACCCTCCAAAAAAAGGAAAATTTTCCCCCACCCATCCCACACAAAACCCACAATAAGAGCTCACGAGCATCTGCAACAGAGTCGATGAAAAAATCCTGCACATCCAGTAACGCCGCTGTCCCCCGGTCCCGCCCTGTCTCCCCCGCCGGCTCAACCCCAGGACCTCGCAACGATCCCGGCCGTGGGCGCCACGCTGCGCTCTCGGCCCCAGGGCCGGCCCGTCCAGCCCCGCCCTCCCTAAGAGTCAGGGATTTGCCGGGGCCCGGCCAAACTTTCCTGGCTTTGGTCAGCACAGCGCCGGTCTCGTAGCGGCGGCAGCACACATACGTGCATTTGGCCGCCCATGCGCCTGACAGTGCACACGCAGTTTGACGACACCAACAACACTCTCCGACCCTCGTCCCGAAACTCAAGCACTACGTCGATATGCGGCCCCGTTACGAGAACTTCCGTAGGCCCTTCGCCGTCCTCAACGCGGCAACCAAGCGGCATGGTGAATTTGACGCCGCGGTACGTCTCCGTGGCGGATGTCGGCTGCGGAGGTTGTAACGGACTGACTCCCTCCACCGCTCCAGATGCTTTATGAGGGCTGCAATCTGCGATGCCGTCAGTTCCTGACGAAGCTGCTGGTGACCATCGCAACCGCATGGTCTCCATTAGCAGCTGGAACTGTTCCCGCTGCCTTTGCAGCGCCTCTTCGTGTTGTTGCCGTGCTAAATACAAGACGCTGGCAGTGGTGGATGCAGCCTGGGTAACGTTTGCCAGAGCGTCGATGAAGGAGCTGCTCGATGAGCTGTCGGCGGCAGACGAACTGCTCCCGGACGAACTAGATACTGTTGATCTGGTAGGTTTATTGACATCTTTATCGTCTGATATCATTTCGCCGGCGTTTTTATTATCAGCGGTTGTGAAGCTAGTCGTGCCGCCTGCGCTGATGCAGCGTCGAAGAGGTGCTGGCTCATTAGCTTCTTGACGCCCGGGCAAGCTTTGCTGTTGTCGGAATAAACTCCTGGCCACAGGCGGCTTAGAGGTCTTGGAATGTCGCGTTCCAATAATGCCTGCCAGCAGCGACTTCGAGTCGTTCTTCCTGTTGGTAACCCCGGCGTTCTGGCTTTTTCCATCGTCATTCCCAAGGCTCACTGACACGGTCGATTTTCCAAATGGCAGCACCGGCGATGTGCCTTCTTTCGCAGGCCGCTGTAAGAAAGCGGAAATCATTGAGAAGACAATTATAAGGTATCCCTGATGTTAAGATGCAAATTCAAGCTTGGAATTTTCAAGGTTTAGATCTGTGCGCGCGGCTTACGCGCCCATCCGCCCACCTGTTTAATCGTTGCCGTTCCAACCACAACTACCTCAACCGCATATTGACCATCTGCATGGGCCTCCGAATCACAGTTGTTGACAGGAAGAATTCTATTGCCTCGCATTTCTTGGACCGGCGGAAGAAGCGGTTACAGCACGAAGATGTCGAGGCCTACTTAGATTGGTTTATCAGTTTCGGGAACGTTATTGGGTCACTGAACATGTAGAATTCCAAGGCACCTCTACTTTAAGATGCCGACAATGAATGACGAAGGCGATAGTCGTGAGCTTCCACAGCTACAGCTCAAAGCGTAGCTGCTAACCATAGTGTTATTTGGAACAGGCGAACATGTTCACGTGCAATAACGCCTTGTTTATTTAGGTGGCAACGTCAATGAGTGGAAAGCGTCAGAGTTTGGGCATCTACATATGTGACCCAGCAACCGTACGACGGTTAACTCCGTGTCGTGCATTAGTCTTAAATCATCCGCCTTAGCAAAACATAAAACCGACTAGGTAGTCTGCATTTGATCCTGCATTCGACAAAAAGCTGCATGCCATGCGCACCTAACCATACCAACCGCGTAAACCCTGCTGCTGTAAGACGGCCAGTCCGCAACCAAGTAACACAGCCAAGCCCGCAAGCTTGCCTTTCCTCAACCCAGCCCAACTTAACGAACTACTTTCTTTCTGCATTTTACCGTCCCATCCTTCTATCTCTTTTTTCTGCTAACCTTCATTAACCTCCTGCCATGCTGCCAAGGTCCCCACAAAACCCCACGCAGTCCAGCCAAGCAAGGCCCACACAACGCAATACCCACCGCTTGCGTGTACATTAACCCTACACGCTACGCCCACGCCGCCAGCTCCGCCCCGCCGGCACTGGGGCCCCGCACTCCTCCTCGCCCTGCACCAGGATGCCCCTCCACCAAATGGCGGAACCCCGGGGCCACAGCAGCCATAAAACTACCGCCGGACAGCTCCGCACCGCCACCGCCTCCGCCACCTCCGGCCCCGGTGCCCCCGATATGCCGCATGTGGCAAGAGTAGTGAGCCAACAGGCCCCCTGGGTACGCCACGAATGCGGCGCCGCCCAGCCGCTTATGGCACAAGGAGCACGCGCGTTCCGTGGTGACGACCACGCGCTGCTGCCTCACGCGCACTGCCTCATCCAGCGCCGTCAGGTTCTCGCTGCGGCGCAGCTGTCGAATCACGGCTAGGTTGCGTCGGGCCTCCAGCATGAAGCGCAGCGCGCCTTCCAGCCATGGCAATACATCCGCCACCGCGACGCCGTCAGGCAGCATGCCCAATACCTATAGGCGGCCGAGGGGGCGGCGGCAAATGGCGGCGAGGGGCGGCGGCAGGGCCGTGGTAAATATGATGAACAGGGTAGCCGAGACGGAGCGCTAGGCAACTCGCACTCCTACGGGACCAAGTCGGGCTAAGTCCCAGAAATTCTACATGGCTAAACTCGAGGGAAGTAGAGAAGGACAGCAAAGACCCACTCGCAGAATCGTACTTACGACCACCGCCCACCTGCATGGGGTCAAGTCGGTCACGTTTCCGGCTGAGCAAACACGACAGCGCCTGCCACATCGCCGGCTCTAGCTGCGGGCCCCCGCTGCCCTCCGCTGCCCCCCGCGACATCGACGGCAAGGATACCAGCCAGGTCCCCGCCGCCGCCGCCGCCGACGACGACGAACCGCCTGGCGCCGCTGCCGCCAATGCCCGCGCAGAGGGACAGCTCTCCGGGCCGTCGTACAGCGCCCGCACTAACTCCAGATATATGTCCCCTGGTTGCGCGGGATCACCTAGGACACCGGCGTCCAGCCCAGCAAGGCCGCGATTGGGGCCGCGGAACAGCGGTGCAGCCGCCACGGACAAAGTGCCACGACCGCCGCCTCCGCCAGCGGAGCTGGCGTACACGCGGTCGCAGTACGCCTCCGCCGCCCCCAGGTCCTTCAACGCATGGACGTACAGCCGTAACGCCTCCCGGTGGTTGCCCAGCCTCTCCAACATGAGCGCACGGATCTCTAGAAGCTCCCCCAGCGGCAGCTTGTCAAGCACATATCCCGGGTCGATATACGGCGACGTGTAAACTAGGTCTCGGAGCCGTTGGTACAGGGACGGTCCCGCTGCTGCTGCGGCAGCAGCGGCGGCGGCAGCGGCCGCGGCTCCTGCGGCCTCACCATGGCCTCCACCGGACGGAGACGTGGAGCCAGCTGCTGCGGAAGCCCCTTGGGGTGCGGGCGGCTTACCGCCGGCAAGAGTGTCCAGCGCGCCGGTGCTGGAGCGCCTAGGCCGCCGCGGCCGCTTCGGTCGATCACCACCCGTGGCTGCCGCCTTTGCGCTACGGCCGCGCTGGCGCGGCACCGATGCCTTGGCCGGAAGCTCCCCAGACGCAGTCTGTTCCGTGGCAGCGCCGCCACTGCTGCCGCCGCCGCTGCCGTCACCGCTCGGCAGCGGCGACGCCCGTGCATGCGGCAGTGGCGGCCGTACAGCCACCACACCGTTGCCGTTCGCCGTCACCGGCCTTGCCGGCCGTTGCACTTCCGCCTCAGGGCCCGCCTCCTTCACTCCCCGTTCCTCCTCACTCTCGCTGCTTGATGACCCTTCCGTCGCCTCCATCTCCGCCGTCGACGCATGCCCCGCCCTCTTCGCCGGCCCTGCACTGTCCCCGAAGCTCTGTACGCTGGACCGGGAGCCCACACGCGATATGCCGGCGGCGGGTGTCCCGACGGAGGACGCCGGCGCGCTGGCGAAGCGCCGCGCCGCCGCCGCCGACGCGCGCGGCTTGAGTAATGCGTGCGCCAGGTCCTCCGGGAACAGCACGGGGGGCTGGTCGGGGTCGGGGCGGTGCGCCAGCAGCAGCTCCTTGAGCTCGTCACCTCTGTGGTTGTTGGCGCGGCTCGGCGAGAGCGGCTCCTGCGGGTATTGTTGGTGTTGGTGACAGTAGTGGTGTTGGTGGCAGTGGTGGTGTTGGTGGCAGTGGTGGTGTTGGTGGCAGTGGTGGTGTTGGTGGCAGTGGTGGTGTTGGTGGCAGTGGTGGTGTTGGTGGCAGTGGTGGTGTTGGTGGCAGTGGTGGTGTGTAGAGTGGTGTATACAGGGTGCAGTGGGGGGCCTAAAACTTATCGAATAGTAATCAATCAAAGTCCTGGAAGGGCTGATGAGCAGAACGACCTGGATACACTACGATGAAAGTACCAGGTGCACAGATGGAGAGAGAGAGAGAGACAAAGAAGAGAGAGTGCGCGTATGTGGACGTTTCATGTGAAGGCCCCCTGCTCACTAAGACGCCGGCCTAGGGCGACGTGAGGCAGTGGAGGGCTGACGCCGGCCTCTTGCACGCACACAGGGCACAGCCCCGCCGGGGGCAGCCTTCCCTCTCGCACGCACCCCCTCCGCAACTCCCTCCGCATATCCACCTTGGCGAGTATGTCCCTCAGGTAAATGAGCAGCAGCTCATTGTGATAGTCCTGAGGCAGCGCCACACCAATTTGCAGCGCTGTCTCCAAGTACAGTCCACAGTAGTGGGCGCTGTGCTGGTTGAGGATGGACAACGCCAGGGAGGGGTGCAGCGGCGGCCGCATGTGCAGCAGCGCCGACAGGCCTGCCTCCGCGTCGGCGGCCAGGATCCATCCGGCGTGGCGCTGGATGGCGTCGGCGTCGGCGGCGGAGAGGGAGACCATGTAGCGCACCGCCGCCCACACGCCGGGCAGTCCCGGCAGGTCTGAACAGCGGTGTGTGGGGGGGGGGGGCGTGTGGGCGTGTGGGGGTATTTGGGGAGTTTTTGCGCGGAGCCATCGGGAATATTCAAGTGAAAAGTCGCGGGGAAGTGCACCAAAATTCAGCTGCATATAGGTACAACATCCTACGCCAGGACGGACGCGAGGCCTAATGGACAGCAGGCCAGCGCGCGTGCAACCTCCGTCCCACCCCGCCGCCACCACCCACCCACCACCCCAACTTCCTCCTCCCAGCACCGGTGAAGCCGCGGCCGGTTCCCTCGCCCCTCATCCTCCGGTCCGGACAACGGCTACCCGGCCCTAAGGGAGCGGTCTTTACGACGACCCCTCAACAGGGGGATGGCGCCTTTCTCTAGCAAATTAAAGGAGAGCCTTTGTAAAACATGCTTTCGTCGTCCGAGATCTCACTGGCGTAACACAACACGACCACACGAGCCACCTCACGGGCTAGCGCTAGCCCAACCCTGCTGTAGCTCCTTGGCTGGACGAGAACAAGGGTTCTTAATCATCCCCAAAGTCATCACTAAAGTTCCCACCACTAAAGGGGAACTTTAGTGATGACTTTGGGGATGATTAAGAACAAGGGGATGGGGTACAAAGAAGATGACAGGGGACAAGTAACGTTGGAACGAGAATTGGTACACAATTGGCATGTCCTTTCAGGTCCTCTCGTACTATGAAAGGCTACTCTCAATGCTCTAGCGCCTACACCGGATATGGACCAAACTGTCCGAAGGGGATGACCGAAGGGGATGACCGAAGGGGATGACCGAAATTACAAACCAACTACAATGTAGCTTAGCCTAGGTTAGGTTTCCTGAAGGGAAACAACTACTAGTTAGGTTAACAACTCTATTCATAGTTCTCCGGGGTCCTCCTCACCCGCAGCAGCTCCCCGTGCCGGGTTCGGCAGGGCCCCCGGGTCCTGGCTGAGCTTGCGTAGCAGCTCCAGGCCCTTCTCGTGACAGCCGTTGCACTTGTAGAGGGCGGCCAGCTCGGCATACATGCCGCTCTCCTCCAGCGCCTGAATCGAAGGAATGGCGGGAGAGACCGCGGAGGGGGGTGAGAGGTGGCGGTGGGAGGAGGAAGAGTACATGCAGACATGCAAACGCCAGCTGCCGATGGTCAAGCGGCGCAGCACCCAGGTCGCCAGCCCAGTGGGGGCGGCCGGGTAAGAATTGAGGTGAAATGTTCCAAGCCATAGGTTCCAGGCTCGATACCGCAAGTCCGCACCCCCACCGCGTGTCCGCTGCGGGTTGAACTGCCCGGGTGCGCCAGGGCAGCGGACATGCACCGCCCTGCATGTCCGTCAGCAAGACTGTTGCTCGTGTAATGGCGTTGGCGGTCCCTTCTCGGAGCAGGGACAGCATGGGAAGGACTCGATGAACGCGGCCCTAGGGTCCTGCCCCTGCCCCTTCATTCGCCGAACATCCCAAGCTTCCCTCTCCGCGTTTCCACCTCTCCCGAACCCACCACCTCGCCTTCCTGGAGGTCCACGTAGTTGGGCAGTTGCACGAAGCGCAGCAGAGATCCGCTGTCCGGCATCGCAACCATGATGCGCACGATTGCGGTGTCCAAAATGACCAGCAACTCGTGAGGAGGCGGGGGTGGTGGAAACGACAGCGCGCCGACCTCGCCAGTGCCGCCCTGGCCTTCCCCGCCAGTGGGAGAGGACGCCGAAGCAGGTGCCGAAGACCTCTCCACTGCTTCCACCATACCTTGTGTCGTAGCGCACGAAACCCCATTCACCGCGGGTTTTCCGTTTGCAGCAGCAGCCGGCCGGCGCTCTTTCACCTTGTTCTCCCTCTCGTCCTCTCGCTGCTGCGCCGTGGCCGCCGCCGCCGTGGTCGCGGGCCCCTGGGCCTTCGTCTCCGCCAGTGCATTGATTGCGCGGGTGCGGTGGCTCAGGATGTACGGCAGCAGCTGCGATACCGCCGTAACATACGCCTCTCCAATCGGTTCCGAAAACGCCGGCAGCGGCTGGCCCGCTGCGTGCGTGGGCAGATGGTGCTTGAACTTGGGCGGCACAAGGGACGGAAACAGGCGCAGCAGCACCAACGCCGTGGTCGACCTGCGAAAGTAGCAGCAGTAGCGGCAGCAGCAGCAGCAGCAGCGTCATCATCACTACAAAGGGAGCTTCGCCAGGCGGGCAGCTTCCCCACCGCCTCCACGCTTAGCCTCCTCCCCCCCTTTTTCCATCCGCAGTTGAGCCTTTTCTTCTTGCCTATGACCCCCCCTTTCCGTGTTCGCTCACTTGCACAGTGCCAGCTGCGCCATGCCCCCATCGTACTCGCCCTCCCGGAACAGGTAATGTCCATACGCCAGCCGCAGCCGCTCCTCCAGAAGCTCACGACGACTCGAACCCGGGCGCGAATTCGGACGGAAATCCAGGTCCGCGACCCCACCGCCATCGCTGCTGGTGGCGGCGGCTGCGGCGCGCGGCTCCGGGTCCCCGGCGGCTGCGGGTCCAGCTCCGCCGCCTGATTCCCGCGCAGCGATGCCGCCTGCCGTTGTCCCCTCGTCGACATCTATCAGCGCCGCGAGGGCCAGCGCTTCGCCGTACTCGCCCATCTCAGCCAGCGTGTGCGCCTGCTCCTCAAGCGGTACCGGTGCTAGCCGGTAAATGGTGCTGCCGGTGCCGCTGGCGGCCGTTGCTGCTGGGTAGCGCATTGGAATGAGGAAGAAGGGACGATAAGGGCCGGCCGGGATGGATCGCTCGCCAATCTTTCGTCACCTTCCGGGGTACTTTTCCCAGGAACATCTAGGTCGTAGTACCGCCACAACATGCGTGGCCCTCCCACGCACACTCTCCATCAAGCCCGCACTGTAAGCTACCCAGTCACAGCCCCCGGGTGTATAAAAGGGGCTCCGCCGAACACAAGCATGAGCAGGAACCCCGGGGCTTGCTAGGTGTGCCTCCATACCCCACGGTCACCCTGTCCTCTACCTCCGCCCCTGGGCGTAATGGTGCTCCTTTCCCGACCTCCAGGTGCTTACTGACCAGCTGTTGCCTGTGCAACCGACGTCGCCGGCGTCGCCCCCGGCCCTGCTGCCGCCGTTGTCGGTAGCTGCGGTGCAGTCGCCACCACGAACACCGACCCGTCTTCCGATACGGCCGGCGCCGCGGGCCGCTGCGGCTCCGGCAATGCCATCCTCTGCACGACGTGGCCCTCGGCAACGCGTCGCAGGCTGCGTACCTCCAATCCCCTTGCTGTCATGGCAACCGCGTGCTGGCCCGCTGCCACCAGCGCCTGGTGCATTTGACACGCGGCTTGGTTGCTTCCATATGGAATATGAAAGCACAGCAAGTCATCTTCCGCAATCTTCCATTCTCCTAATCCAGGATCCATTCCATAAGTACGCCTAAGGCATGCAAAACCCTGGGCCGTCCGTCCCAGGCACGAGCTCCCACGCCACCGCGTCTGCGGCCGTCCTCCCACTTAACCCGTCTGGCAGCCTTCGCCGTGCAGCGCGGCGTGCCAAAGACCGTCCGTGGACATCCATCCATCCATCCATCCATCCATCCGTTCCAACTCACGTTCGTTCATTCCGTTTATTTGAAACTATCCCCCGGCAGCCCCACATCCGCCCCACATCGCCGAAACACGGCCACGTGTCCACATTGCACCCACCAGCAATGGCTCCGACCACAGCAGGTGGCGCCGGCGGCTGTAGCGGCCGTCCACGGGGCTGTGGTAATATGTGCTATTGTCGCGTGCGAGAAGCATTTCCTGGCCGCCGGGGCATAAGACTGCCAGCGGGTGGGGCGCACAGCCCGTAGGGCCCACATCGGTCACGGCACCTACAGCGCGCCACAGAACGCACATCCGATAGAAAGCCACAGAAACGCCAGCATTAGCCTGGGCCAAGCGCGGCGGGATTCGCACGAGTCAGCTTTGTGCTAAGGGAAGCGGCGGCTCAGTAGGCAAGTGGGTGAAGGCGCAATGGGACAGCAGCACCGTACTATGCCTCTCCTAACCGTCCATAGGACCGTAAGCACAGTACCATTTTGCGTCCAGGCCCAGGTCCAGTTTCACGCACCGGCTCAAAACGTACCCGTGGCCGTATTGAGCAGCACATATTGTCGCCGCATGCCCAGCAGCAACATGCCCGCGGCTACCCATACCATAGCCGACACCAGGTCGGGCGCACTGCGCTCCCCCGCATCCAGCAGGTCGCTTCCGTGCAGGTGGTAGAGAATAACCTACGACAAAGTGAGAGCCAGTCCGTAGGGGAAAGGGGAGCGGTAGCGCGGAGGGGTAAGGAGGGGCATCGGAATCCAAAATTATGGGATAGGGGGAAGCCTGAGACCCATTTCACGTACGCAACCACCTGAGCAGCGCACCAGCGTTAAGCCTTGCCCTGCATTTCCCATCCCCGGACGCCTTATGCGGGCTGCTTGTGAGAGAGGTTAAGCAGTCCCCGCCAACACCTCCTCTGCTAATCCTCCACTCATACTGACGAGGCTGTGATGGTGCGCTGAATGAAGCCGCACCCAGTCGACCCATGCCTTTCCTGGTTTCCAGGACTCCGTGAAATGTGTCTCTGAACCGCTGGCTGCGGAGTGCGCATTACCTTTCGCCGGACGGCAACGGCCAGGGTTTGGCCTTCCTCGCTCCAGGCAAACAGGGACGCCCCTCGTGAACCCATGGGCTGGAACTTGAGTTTCATGTCGGGCAGCGTTAGCAGGTTGACGCCATCCTCCGTCAGAGTGAGCAAGAGCGGGCGCTTCCCGAGTTGCACAGCCGCCATCTGCACCACTGCCTTTCGCTCTAGGCTGCGGTGGCGCCTGACGACCTTTGAAACAACACGTTTTGAGGAGCACACGGCCATACCAAGGCGGGAAATGGGTATTTATGATTGGTGATGAGTTCTTGCGTCGGCTGAGTGTGCCCAGGCGTGCTTACGGATTGCGCGGGGCTGTTCCCCCTGTGTATCAGGTCGGCGCAGCCGTGTACGTGCTCGCCAGGGACGGGTTTGCCGTGGCATGGACAGATTTATATGCGATCTATCCAAACGCAAGGAGCTGACGTGTCGTTACCTGCCAGAGCCCGTCACCCTGCTGGCTCAGGAACTGCACAATGGTGCCATCATGCAGCCCGACAAGCAAGTATCCATTCCAGCAGCAAAGAGACTCGACTCTTTGGTTTCCAGGCAGGGTTTCGATGATGGGCAGCACCCGGAAAGCTTCGTAAGACTTGGTGGCTTTGGGGTCCATCGTGGCCGATCGTATTCGTCCTGCAGTTTGAGGTAGTTATCGGGCTCATGATACATTAATCATGCCCAGCTGCTGAAAAAACAGCAGATCGAAATAGCACGGTTTGCACTCAGTCTGTCGAATTTTCAGGGCCAACATCGCACAGCGCAGACATTTCTGGGTAGTCCTTATACTTTAGGCCAAGCCGCTTGGTAGTGTTGGGCATCAGTTGCTTGGAATGGGACCCCCAACTGTGTTTCCCTCCGTACAACTGTGTTTCCCTCGTTTTCTACAGCACTTCTGAACGCACCCAACAAGACATTTTCTGCCTTAATTATGGTTTAGCTGCTAGCCACAACCCAAACAAGACGTTAGGACCGCCAACGCTTGGCGGTCAATCCCTCAACTTGAAGACTGCAAACTACGGACTTTGCCGCACTGGCCACCGGTTTCCAGACTAGGAGCTTGCGTTTCTTGCCGCAAAGTTCATTTCAGTGTTAGCGCCGGCTGTTTTGGCCGTGAGACTTCCATTGGGCTGTCGGGAGTCTCAGAGGCCTAATGGCTGACGACGGTGCACACGAGAATGTAAGCTCTTTGGGAGGCCAGCAATTTGCAGCAAGCATTAGTTGGGCGGATAGCTGAGCTCTGGTTTTGTTCCTCCATTCAGTCCTACGTTCAAGAAGACGAGTATGAGGACGGACGGGGAAGTCGCCTGGATGGGCTTCAAGCCCATGCAGACCATTTTCAGGTATGTGTATTTTGTTCCAAGTTATTATCGCAATCATACGCGCTGGAGGTAGCGACCTCGGGTCCTCGCCATGGTTGCAGGTTGACGCCTTTTTCAAAGCGCTGGCAAAGGGTGGAAAGGGCTTCAGCATTTTCAAGCGAAAACCGAAAACCCCCGGCGGCACTGGTACCACGGGTTCTGGGGGCTTTACGCTCGACGACCTGCTTATGTTCTCAAACGTGAGGGATCTCTCTGCTTGCGGGTGTCTTTTGCACAGCTGCTGCTCACAGTCACATGTGCTTCTGGTCACAGGAATCTATTCCTACTTCGTTGCTGAAGCTCAGCAATGACCATATCAGCAGGGCGGTCAAGATGTTCAGCGGCATACTTAAGTACATGGGCGAGACCGGCGAGCAGCTGCCGAACATCCAAAGCCTTGAAATCGCGCAAAAGCTGCTTCATCAGGGCTTGAAGCGGCCTGAGCTTAAGGATGAGCTGTATATGCAGCTCATCAAGCAAACGCGCGGCAACCCGAACATCCAGTCGCGGGTTAAGGCGTGGGAGCTATTCCACCTTGTGGCATCTACAATGCCTCCCTCAAAGGTAAGGTAACAGATCTGCGATGTGTTCCGATAGTTATTGCCCGTCCTTTGGGGTACCAGCCCGCCCCCTGGGTCACAATCACACAGGAGTTTGTGACGATGGTATCCGAGTACATCCACGCCGTCGCTCACGAGGAGCAGGAGGACAGCTTTGTGCGGCAGCTTGCGACACGGACATGGAATAGCTTGAAACGGTCGGCAAAGGCGGGGCCGCGCCGTACGGTGAGTATTAGATTGCTGGCATGGGTTCTGGATAGATTACAGCTTCGCAGGCCGGTCGTGCACACAAGGCGAGCAAACTATGATGGCCACGAACAACATGTATTATTTGAAGCTCTGGAAGACTTGTGCACACCAAGCCAATTAACCTCTGCAAGACGCAAACTGACCGTTAACCTGAAAATTCCATGTCCTTGGCATCAGCACGGCGCATCAGCACGGCGGCTTGCAAAACAGTTAGGATGGAAACCGGACTGTTGCTTGTTAAGACTTTAGGAAGATGGCACCGTCTAGGATATGAAAGTGAATGTCCCTGCATGCATGCATGACGGGTTCGCACTACAGCCTCAACTGAAATGTGCCTTGATGTATTCCGGCCCTAGCTCCCGCAAATCGAGGAGATTGAGGCATTGCTCAACAGCCGTCAGCTTACGACCATCGTTTTCTTCCTTGACGAGACGTTCGAGGAGTTGACATATGACGTTACGACGACTGTCTTGGAGGCCGTGGAGCAGCTGGCCAACCTGATTAAGCTGCAAAACTATAATACGTTTACCCTCTTCGAGTGCCGCAAGGCAGTTGGTGCTAAGCAGGTGGGCGGGATCAGAGGTGTTGAGGACTAGCAGGTCCACCGTCAAGCTGGTCTGGGTATGGGTCAAACGCATAGGGTTCTAATGGTTTAGCACTTCAATGCAACTGGTGAGCATCCCGATATGAAACAAGCCCGTATCCTAACTCCTCAATCAGTTAACATGGGAATTTTACGCAGGCGGGAATGGAGCCGATTGCCGACGAGCACATCCTGCTCGACGATAACAAATACGTCGCCGACGTCCTCTGTGAGTTCCGCAACTCGAAGCTCACACGGGAGGGCTTCCAAAGCAAGCTGCTCTTCAAGAAGCGTATGTTCCGGGAGACGGACGAAACTATTACGGAGCCGCAGTTCGTGAACCTCAGCTATGTGCAAGCGCAGCATGATTATCTGCAGGTGAGGGCTTGGGTTTCCTGGCGCAGCTATGTAAATCCAGTAAAATTGAATGCATGAATTTTTGGTGCTTAACCTCCCCCCGCCACCATGCCACGGTTTGAAGGAACCCGCGTTCAACTGTTCAAAAGCGCGTTGTGATTTTCCCCCATTCCGGCCTGCTCTGAATTCCCGTGTGACAGGGCAACTATCCCGTTGTCCGTGAGGACGCGAGCCAGATGTGCGCATTACAAATCCAGGCGGAGCACGCGTCGACGCTCAACGACAATGAGGAGCAAATATTGCTCTGCATTGAAAAATATATAACGAAGCAGGTTGGTAAAGGAGCCCCCTAAAGCAGCACAGCAATGCGCATGGTTACGGGGGCTATGCACTCTGATGCAGGTCCTGATGACCCGGCCGCGCGAGGAGTGGCGTGCGGATGTGACCGCTCGGTACCGTGCGCTTGAGCAGTTCAGCAAGGAGGACGCGCGACTGCAATTCCTGCGCATTCTGCGCAGCCTGCCTTACGGCAACTCCATTTTTTTTGCGGTGAAGCGGATTGAGGATCCCATCGGGCTGTTGCCAGCAAAGCTGATTCTGGGCATTAACAAGCGTGGCGTTCACTTCTTCCGGTGGGTGATTTTTCAAATTGAACCTTTGGAGGTGTTCGGCCGTTGTTCCGAAGCAGGGTTGACAGAGACAAACAGGCTGGCTTAAATTGTAGTGATATGACTCGGCCCGGGGATTTCACATGCCAAGAGGCATGGGTATTAAACATCCTTTGGAGGGAAGCCAAACTATGGAAATTGTCGTGTTGCTATCCCTGTTTATTGCTACCTGATGACCTGAGCACTTCGCTCAATGCCTTGCACATATACAAATGCATATCGGGAGAGCCCGGCGGCTTGTGTTAATGCTGTCTGGCTGCTGGACTCCTACCAACTCAACGTATTTCACCCCATGCTACGCGTTAAGGCACCACTTGTCGCTATAATAAGGGTGTTTAAGGTCTTTGGCCTCCCGTTGGCTACCGTAGGCCTGTGCCGAAGGAATACCTCCACTCAGCGGAGCTCCGTGACATCATGCAGTTCGGAAGCAGCAGCACCGCTGTGTTTTTTAAAATGCGCGTAGCGGGCGTCTTGCATATCTTTCAGTTCGAGACCCGGCAGGGCGAGGACATCTGCATGGCGCTACAGACGCACATCAACGACATCATGATGAAGCGGTATGCTTGGGTCTCCTGTGCGCTTCAGGGATGTATGCGACAACAGCGTAGTCTCGGATTTTCCAATGGTTACATTGACGAGGCGCATTCACTATGCCCCTGCTAACAGGTACTCGAAGGCCAAAGCCAGTGCGTCGGCGGAGAAGGCGCAGCAGCAGCTGGGGCTGTCGCAGGGCAACTTCGGGCCCAAGTATGAGGCCCACGTGGCCCAGTTGCAGCAGGAGCTTGAGGAGCACCGCAAAAAGATCCAGCAAATGCAGCGGCAGGAGGCGGAGCTCCGGTGAGCATCCTGCTTGTCGGGGTTTTTGAGGCGTTGCATGATGGAGCTCCATGCCGCAGGATGTTTGCGTGCTGCTCGGATGGGAGTTTGGATCGGATTGGGCCCGGGAAGGGTTGGGGTGCCGCACTCCCAGCATGGACAAATGAAGCTAAGGGCCCTGGGTAGAACACCACACCGAGAATTCAATGTGCTGTAATGCCCTGAGCATTGCTAGCTTTTAGTGAACGTATCTGATTTGCTGTTCAGGCGATAACGATATCATTTTTGCACTTATATCCAGGTATGAGTCAGATCGGCTGCGGGGCGAGCTGGCGGACGTTAAGGAGTCTCTTGCAGAGGAGCAGGCCGCCAAGGACCGCCTCAATGAGAGCATAAGCCGGCTAACAGCTGAGGTTGACACGCTGCAAACGGAGCTTGCTGTTGCACGGGCTGACGCAGCAAAGAACGCCGCGGCGGGCCCGGCCACACCTAGTGCGGCAGTGGAAAACCACGCTGTGCGCGACCTGGAGGCGCTGCTTGAGGCACGCAATCGGGAGCTGGCGGACGCGAACGACAAGTACGTACAAGCGGAAATAGTTTTGCTCTTCGTTCTTGCTCGTCGAGTTTGTGCCGACGGGTGCATGAGCTACTTCGCAGCGGGTTCATGTCGGTTTGACAGCCAGGATCTTCATGTGTTGTTTGCAACTCCTGGCATATATGTATTTGTCGTTAAGACGCACAACGTTTGGGCGCAGGCTCGCGGCTCTCGATAAGCGCTGCTCTCAGCTTCAAAAGGAGAAGGAGCTTATTGAAAAGAAGATGCAGCGCATAGAGAAGGCGAAAGAGACGGAGACCGGTGAGCTGCGCTCACAGCTTGAAGCGGTCCAGAGTGACATCCAGGCCCAGCTGAAACTGAAGGACAGCAAAATTACTGAGGTGGGTGGATGGATGTGATGTCTAACTGGGACGCTCTTGTATGTCGCTCAGTTGTTTGGACGTCTTCTCCTCTCTTGACACATCTGTCGTACTGCCTCAGATTATGGAAGAGCTAGCATCGATCAACGCGCTGTACGTTGAGTCGAAGGCTGAGCTCGAGCAAAGCCGTGCAGACCAGTCGGAACTTGAGGAGCTGCGCGAGCTGAAGGCTGATATTGAGCGCAAGGAAAAGCAGCAGGCAGCAATCATCGACCAGCAGGTGAGGCAGGGATTATTGCCAGCTTAGCTTGCTGATTTCAGCGGAGTTTCTTGACAATTGCGCTTATTAATGCTCCATGCTTGCAACAAATTAACAGGCACGTCGTCTCGAAGAATTGGAGAAGCTCTACAAGGAGGAGCAAATTACCCGGAAGCGATACTTCAACATGATGGAGGACATGAAGGGCAAGATCCGCGTGTACTGCCGTGTGCGGCCTATGCTGGCTTTCGAGGTGGAGAAGCGCCAAACGTCGGCCCTTATCCTGCCCGACGAGCTCACGGTGTGCCATGCCTGGAAGGACGAGAAAAAGCCGCGCGAGTATAGCTTCGATACGGTGGGTCTCGCGTGTAGCCGCATGCTCGCTCAACATCCGCTGACCATGGGAACTTTTGCGGGCATGTGAATCATATGAGTGTATATCTGCAGGTGTTCCCACCAGGTACCACCCAGGACCAGGTGTTTGAAGACACCAAGCACCTGGTGCAGTCTGCGGTGGATGGCTACAATGTGTGCATTTTCGCCTACGGGCAAACTGGCAGCGGCAAAACTTTCACGATTTATGGCAATGAGCGCGACCCTGGGCTCACGCCACGCGGTGTGGCGGAGCTCTTTCGCATCATCAACAGAGACGGTGGGAAGTACACCTTCAGCGTCTCCGTCTACATGCTTGAGCTTTACCAGGTGCGAGCGTAGCCAAATGGAAAGGACACGAACACTATATGTTCTTGAATGTTTGCTATAATGCATATCTATTTTTATTCGACAGGACACGCTGCAAGATTTGCTACTACCGCCCGCTCCGAAGAATTCCCGTCTTTCGATTGCCGAGGTGCCGAAGCTGGATATTAAGAAGGATCCCAAAGGGATGGTGACCGTCGTCGGTGCCACAGTGGTGGAGGTAACGTCGGCGAAGTGAGTAGGATGTACAATTCAAAATATTGTGGTTTGTTGGTAATAGCACATGGCTGATTACAATGGTTCGATCACGCGTCGGTCAATATAATGACCTCGCCACCTGAAGGGGTCGCGCAGAAGTCCACCGGGGTCATGTGTTTGTTACGCAGGGAGCTGATGTCGACCATCGAGGCCGGTCAGCAGCGGCGCCACGTTGCCAGCACGCAGATGAATCGCGAGTCATCGCGCTCGCACCTCATCATTTCCATCATCATCGAGTCCACAAATCTCCAGACGCAAAGCGTTGCGAAGGGCAAGCTCAGCTTTGTCGACCTCGCGGGCTCTGAGCGGTACGACAGTTAGATTTAGGGTGGGGACTTCCTCCTGTGAAGGGCGCTGCAAGGGCATGGATGTCCTGCTGGCACAGCCACTGGTCGCTTTTGCGCTAGGACTTGGGCATCAGTATCTGCTCTTAAATCTTCTCCATGTGTCCTTGATACAATTGTACATGCAGCGTCAAGAAGTCCGGTTCCGTCGGGGAAAACCTAAAGGAAGCGCAGGCCATCAACAAGTCCTTGTCCGCTTTGGGCGACGTTATCTCGGCGTTGGCCACAGAGCAACAGCACATCCCTTACCGCAACCACAAGCTCACCATGCTCATGTCCGACTCGCTTGGAGGCAACGCGAAGACGCTTATGTAAGTACTTGTAGGGTCGCACAGAAGACATGGCATAATCCTCTTCTTTCTTTAGGTAATAAATGACTATATCCTTTGCGTTTCCCGTTGAAATGCTCTTTCGGTCAACCCCTCTGTAGCTACTATGGACTCACTACACCCACCGCAACTGAAGGTGCAACACATACATAAGACGCCTAGGATGCACACGTTCCATTCCCGCTAATTCCTCAAATCTGCTGTGTGAAGACTTCCTTGTACCTTGCCTTTTTCACATAGGTTTGTCAACGTGTCGCCAACTGACGCAAACCTGGACGAGACGCAGAACTCCCTGCAGTACGCTACGCGTGTCCGCACCATTAAGGTACGCGGCTATGCCGCTTCTATGGTTGAACTATCTTAATGGATACTGCTTTCTTAACATGCGGCAAGCCATAAGCCTCTGGTAGCCTGCTAAGGCCGTCCGCAATGTAGGTGTGTGTGGTGTAGTTGATAGTATACTTATGCAGCTGTGCGGTAAGTATACTGTATCCGATGCTGACACGTTATTGTCCCGCCGTGGCACCAGAACGACGCGACCAAGAACGAGGCGAACAAGGAGATGCTCCGATTGAAGAAACAGGTGGAGTACTGGAAGGAGCAGGCCGGCCTGCCAGCTGAACAGCGCGACATTGTGGACTTCGTGGAGGTCAGTGAGACACGGAGCGCTTCGGATTCGATTGTGTCAGCGCCGCAGTAAGGTGCCCCTGGACAGCGTCTGCAGTGCTGGTTCAGGTGTTAGTACGTGTGTGTGGACTGCGGCATGGCTCCTTCGATGGTGCTATAGCGGGGTTGGGAGGCAAGCTTGTCGTTCGGTGTGAGGCTCGCCGGATGGAATGCCGTACATAGGAATAGCCAAGTTGGCGTGATTATCCTTAATCAGCTCTCTTGGAAGTGCCCTTGGATGTAGCTTGACGCAACGGCTTTGTGACCAAATGATCATGCAGCGGTCTCCGCTATCTGGTTCATTGTTGAGGGCATTGGGGGGAGTTTGGTGGCCTTGTTACGAGTCGTTGATACTGGTTACAACTTTTGATGACTTCCGATGAGTGTGGCGTTACTTGCGCTGCGCGTGCGCCTCTCACCATAGAGCCTCAGCTACTCGGCCACCCACAAGCGTTTAGCATCATTGGTGCTGTAGATGCGTTGGGTGAAAGTCTTAATTACAAGATTAAGGCTAAGGCTAGACGGGTTTCACAACGACTGGGATTATTACATCGCCCTAACTACTGACATGCACCGTGTTCATAATTGACGTGGGGATGCGTGTGTACCTACGTTCTCATCAACATGGCAATGTTGTGGGCGTCTGTTTACACGAACTTTGCGTGCGCAATGACAAATGCGCGTGGCGATCGCGGTAATGCGGGCGTTCGTTTAGCGGGCGTGGCTTGGCAGGCAAGTTGAAGGCTGGCAGAGGAGCGAGTGTCAACGTTTTGGCATGTGATGGCTACAGCTTAAATGCTGTGGCGCTTTATTATTGGCAGGTATTCATGTGTTGGTGCGAAATGTTATGCGCTAATCACTAAGGTGGTTCGCAGAAATGGGTATGTAAATGTGGCTTTGTTGTGTAGCACAGCCTGCTCTCTTGAACTCGGGTGGGCAACAATTGGAAATGATGTTTTACCGGTAGCATCCTTAATTTTACTTTGGAAGTGCAAAGGCGGTGCTATCTCGCGTGTCGAATGTCTTCCCATAGCTGGGGATAGCTCTTGCCTACATAAACACGCAGCAAGTGTCACTTCTCCATACGGACGACCTCCTTGATCGGCTAACGAAGTAACAGAACAATGCGCAGATGCACCGCACGCTCACGTCTGCTGGTCAACCATGATGGTCATCCAGAGTGCAGTTCTCGCCGTTCATGACGTACTCGTGGTTTATGTGCCTGCAAGAATGCTTGGGGCATGGGCGAGTTTATACGCGCCTGCACAGCGCATAATACGTGCAATTATATCCGTCCAATACTAGAAATCCGGGAATTGACCATCGTCTGATGTATGGAGCACCGAGCTCAGGCGGACGGCTGTGGGTTCTGCCGCTGCGGTATATATGTCCCAGGGGCCATTCGTTCCGCGCATCGTATGTACAACGCCGATATCGAATATAGTGTCAGGAACTTGCGCATCGCCCACATCCCGTGGTGCAGTTGCATGACCCAGCTACATGTGCCAGACCGCAGCTACCGGAAGTGGAATACAATTATCGCACGCGGTACGGTGGGCCATTTCGCATCCTACTGGGTTGTGAAGAGGTTTTGCACACTTTGCCAAAATTTAATGATATTGTTGAGATAAATTCCCACCTAAAATTGGTTGATAATCTTTGCCTCGGCTCTGCTGAGAAGTTCATGTTATGATAATGAGATATTAAACAGCGCAACGCTCGATGTTAAGCACTTAATACGTAAATGGAACTGTCAAGTCGACGCAGCCTACCTACATTATAATTTTTCAGGGTTAAGGAATGGCGGTGCCATTACAGTATGGCCGGGACCCTTTCAGCCAGCTTCACCGTATGCTTGATGCACATCACACAACTCCTGGATCAATCCGACGGACGTGTCTTGCAGTGGAGGAATGCCTGGCCAACAATAGGTACGTTTTGAAGCAGGGTGGCAAAATGGCGCGAGATGCTGGCGGCGAGGCGATCGGCAGCTTGTCATCTTTTCAGGGACAATTTGCGGGGATTTTTCGATAAACCCTTCTCGAACCTATTGAAGCGGGTTTTCGGCTATGGCGACTTTGAAGCGTCGTGGCTCAACATTGTTACTAAGGTACGCACTGTGTTTTGACGGCCCTCTAGTTCCCCGTGACGAAACTCCCAGTCAACGGGTGAACGCAGGGCCGTGACGCGGATGCACGCGCCCTGGTCGATCTGTTGGCGCCAGACGGTAAGCCTTTGGGACCTTAGGAGACCGAGAACCATGAGGGGGGTACAACTATTGTCGGGGTAGCAGGTCGCGGGGTCCAACCGTCAGGAAGCATGGAGTGGTTTCTGCGTTGGAATAAGGCGATGCCGCCGTTACCGCGTACCATTTCCTCTTGAGGACGCGCAGAAAGCATACAGGAACCGTCCCCATTCTCTTCGCTCCAGGGAAGCTGTTTGCGGCAATGGCCCAGGCGGACAGCGACGATCTCGTCCAGTACATCTTTCCAACGGAGCGCCTGCCAGCGCACACACAGGTTCGCAGTTCGCAATATGTTATCAACGAAAGCTCCTATTGGCGGGGGGTTTGGTTTCCTACCATGCAAGACTTCGGTTGGTCTGCTATTGTTTAGGGTGATGGGAACTTGCGGGTACAGATCAGACGTTGCGCGCCGCGACGTCGCAGGAACATGCCGATGTATCTCCATTGGCAGTTAGTTGCAGATTCGTCGATTATGTCTCTCCCTGATGTTGATGGTTGACCCTCGCTTTCCCAGCGCACAGAGCTGCTACGGGGTCAGCCCAGGGCCCCGCGGTATCCTGTAAGATAAGATGTCGTCACGGCTGAGCATAGCAGCTTGCGGGAGTGGGGATAGGTTGGACCTATGTAGCATACAGCGCGTAGAGCTATCGTTCCAAATCCCGTTTGCGTGAGCCCTGTGTGTATCTCTGTGTATTAATGCGATGCGCAGGAGTTGCTCAAGGAGCCGCAGGGATACGGTCTACGGCTGCTGGACGCGTGGCCCCAGTACCGGGGCCGCATCCGAGCTGACCCAGCGGGCCGACCACAGGTCAGCAGCCCAGACCTGGAAAATTTACGAAGCGGTGGTCGTGACTTGCTTATGCACTATTTTTGTTATGTCGTGCCATGTTCAGCTGGATAGGGAAGCTGATCGCATTTCTTTTTAGAAGCGCACAATCCCTCCGATTAGACGGAACGCTTTATCGCCGCTTCCGTACAGGGTAGCCTTTTTAGCACCGCAACGCGGTTGATCGAATCGGGCTTGAATTCTCTTTTGCCGCAGTCCTGAAGCCGATAGTGAGAGGCTGTTGCCGCGCAGAGGGGTGTCCAGAGGTAGAGTCGGATGCGACTCCCTAGTACAGTTGGTTTCGGGCCCGTTAGCGCCGGAGGGTTCCGGTTTACCCCGTTTCGAGGTAGGCATAGCTTTACCTAATTAACCTTCGGGTTTTCCTCCTGGCTGCCGCCATAGGTTTATCTGAACCTGTTCGAGTACTTCATGTTTTGGACAGCCTTCTACGTGCTGAGGGGAAGCGCCTCGGATAACAGCAGGTGTGCAGGCGAGAGTGCCGGGTGCAAGGCAAGGAGTAAAGGAGCGGAGTATCAAAGCCACCACCTCTGGTGGCTTTACGATGTGTTGGAACGCCCGCGCCAGGACAGGACTTCAAACAAGATGTCATGCTAGCATTTCAGCAGTTTGCCAAGCATGGGGTGTGGCATGTTGGAGGATGTATCAACGTCCGTCTCGCTTCATATCTCTGTGCAGGAGCGACCCTCGTGCACCACCCGGCTCCGCGTCCTCGTCTATGATGTACGGCATGAGCGGAATTCGGAGCGTGGGGTCGGCCATTGTGGGCAACCTCATACTGGGTCGACCTGCTGGGGGACTCCAGGTACGGCAACGTGAAACACACATCCGCTGGCCCCCTCCGGGGAGAGCTGCGTCCTTTGTATCTTTCCTTGAACTCCATCACGGTTGCACTTCGACTCTTTAGGGACTTAGGTTCCGCTCAGACAATCACTTGTAGACTTCTGTTTACGAAGTTCTCATATGCCACGAATGTCCATCTTACACTGGCTTTCCCTTGTTGTTTTGTTGTTCTCCTTTTGGCGTTTAGAGCTCTTCCACATTTAGGGGAACTTGCGCACATGGCGAGGCTGGTAGCTTGACGCCCCAACCCCCTCGTCTTATTCCCTGCTCGGCATGCAGAGCCACCCCTACTACTGCTTATTGAAAACGTACCTGGAGTATTTCTTGCCAAGGAGTGGGGGCGGAGTAAATGGCACTGGAGCAGAGGGCGCTGCAGGCGTATCGCGTGCTGCACAAGCCGCATCCGCGGCCGCAGCGGCGGGAACCATGGGCGGCGGCATGGGATACGGCCTTGGCCTGTCTAACGGCGCTGCCGCCGGCGGCGCCGTTGGTTGGGCATCATACAAACCGACGTTGACGGCCGCGGCTGCTGGGCCTGAGAGCCGCAGTGCCGTACTGCTGTCAATCTTGGTGGAGTTCTGGCTTACGGACCTGGCGGAGCCACTGCCGTCCCCAAACACGGACAGGGCCAGCTGTGTTGTACTACCCAGTGGCGTAGTAGGGTCGATTGGCGGCCTAGGCGTGGGCAGCGGCCTAGGCGCCGCCATCGGATCACCCGCTGGCGCCGTTGGCTTGGCTGGCAGTGCCTCACCTGTGCCGGTACCCGTGTCCGCGCCCCCTAACGTCAGGTGGGTAGCAAGAACCGCATGTCACAAACAACCGCTGGTATCCCGCTGCTGCTGCCGCTGCTGCTAAACCGCTGCGCCATGTCATAAGCCGCCCCTTAGCCACCGTGTGTGGGTCTGCGGGGCCGCGCAGGATGCTGACGTATCAGCCTCCCTCCGAGGAGCTGGTAGAGGGGCTGGTGGCGTTGGTCCGCTACGTCCATGTAGTGGAGCAGGACCCCACGCAGCCCTGGGCGGGGCCGAGCGGGACTGGCGGGCGGTCGCCCGTTGCCATTGGCATGTCACCATCGTCTGCTGCCGCCAGCGCGGCCGCTGCCGTGCGGTCGTCCGTTGGCAACGTCGGCCGCCGCGCCAGCGGCGGCGGTAACGGCTGTGGCTTTGGCGGCATACCGCAGCGGCCCCCGCAGTTCCAGTTACAGCCGGCGCAGGTTGGCCGGGCGCCGTGGTTGCCGGAGACGCCGGTGAAGACGCCGCCACCACCACCGCCGCGGCTGCTGATGCCGCCGACGGCGCTGCTCGTTCAGGGCAACAGCGCCACCCCTGCGGTGCAAGCTGTGTCACGAAAGGTGTACCGGCAACTAAGGTGGGCGGCGGCTTGGGGTGCGGCGTGGAGGGAGGAAATATGGGGGTGAAGGCAAAGGGCTAATCGCTTCCACCCGGGGGAGGGAGCCCTTACCCAGTTTCCCATGAGAGCAGCCATCGTTGTGGCACACACGCCCCCGATGCTCCTCGCTTCCGATGTCTGCTTTGTGTTCCTGGCTCTTCAAAGAAGGAACGCAGCTCGCACCCAATTGTGCCGCACGGCAACCACGATTTCTATCTTGAGACTTGGTAGATAAAAAAATACACGGCATCGACGGCATTTCTGCGCTGTGCTGCTCAGTTTGGTGTCTTGTGGTATCTGTCTTAAGTGTTTCGCTTGCGTGACCCTACAACTGATATATTTCCCCTTCCTTGGCAGACGTGCTTTTTCGCAGTGGCCGCCAGGTTCCCCCAACTCCCTGACGCCGCTCATCTCTTTGTGGCTGTCCGTACTGGCGCCCTGGTGCCCGCCGTACGCGCACTCGCGTAAGGCGGTTGCCGTGGACAGCGCCGCCACAGCCGGCGGCAGCGGCGTGAGTGCCATGGCTGGAGGCGGCACTGCTGGCGGGGCTTGCGCTGCCGGCGGCCTCCGGCACCACAACCAGCAGGACGGTGTAGGCGCGCTGGGCTCAGCTGCTGCGGCTGCAGCGGGGATGATGGAGGCAACGGCGGCCAAACTGCATTTGGGTGGCGGCAACGGTGTCAAGGACCGGGATCGAGACCTGGCGGGAGCAACATCTCGAGAGGTGATTTCGCAGGTTTGTATCCTATGCTTTTTCGCCCCGCAAATCGAGAGGAGGACAGCTGGGCGCGTCTTCCCCAGTACGCGGCCTGCATCCACCTCGCACAAAGCACAAAGCATTCGCGGGCTTGGCAGAATGCTAAGATGTCACCCCGAGTCCGCACTTCCCCGCCTAGCCTTGTACCCCCCTTCAATCCTCTCCTTGCCTTTCCAAGTCCCTCTTTTCCTCTTCTTCTGCGCCTCTCATTACTCCTCTACCTTCCTGCCCCTGCTCTCTGGCCGCCTCTAACCCCGCAGTACAAGTACACATCCGCCTGGCGGGGACACGTGTTGGCGCACCTGCCGTTCTACCTGCTGCTGCTGCCCCAGTTCGCCTCGCTGTCGCTGTCACGCCTCAAGTACCGGCCTGACGTGGCGCTGCGGGACCTGGACCGCGTGCTGGCGGTACTGGCGGCGGCAGGGCCAGAGCTGCTTCTGGAGCTGCGCACTGCGGAGGCGGCGCTGAATGACTTTCTGCGGCCGGCAGCGGCGGGGGGCCGGCGACGCAGCGAGGGCGAGCTTGGGGAGATGGTGCCGTGGTGGCTTGAGCAGGCGAGTGGGGGCGTCGTGTGTGCATGTGTGTTTGCGTATATTTGCCGGTGGTGGTGGTGGTGGTGATGATGGTGGTGGTCCTTGTTTCTGTGTGAGTCTGTGGCACTATCTGTAGTGAGGGACAAGATTAAGGAAAGGGTCGGCGGATGTTTCTCACTAAGTCGTGTGCATGTAAGTGTGATTTAGAAAGGGAAATGGGATTAAGTGGCGCTGGTTGGCTCTGCCCTTCTAGGAAGGGCAATGCGAAGCAAATTAGCTGCCCTAGCAAAATGACGGCTGTACGGGGTTGGTAGTTATCGGTTGGGATGAGCGCCTTGGAGGAAGGCAGTGGACGGGCTGAATGCCACACCGTGGGCCTCTTGGTGTTGGGGAGGGGATGCCCTGTCAGGGCTGACGGGGTTCAGCCCTTCCGCGTTCCGCGTTCCTTCCCGCACCGCCTGTTCACCTCACATTCTTTCATCGCACTCATTTTCTCGACACTACTTGCAGGCCCAGGACTTCGAGATGGCTGCGGCAGCTGGCTCCTCCCCTCCTGGCGCGGTGCAGCCTGACGTGACGGGCCGCCTGTTTACCATTGACTCTGCGGGTGCGGCCTACACCGCCTGCCTGCTGCTGCGAAGTGCCGAGACGCTGGTGAGAGCGGAAAGGGCGAGAGGAAAGGAGGAGGGGGGCTGGACCCTTAAGTGGCAAGGAGCAAGGAGACAACCCCCTGGACGTATGTGGCGTGTTGCCCCCACCTCTTGAAACACATAGACACGGCGGGGTCTCCGATTCCTGTGAAAACCCGCTACATCTGTAGGCGAAAGGCACGTCTGAACGTCCTGTACTGGGGCTGATGGATCTACTGGGTGCTGGTTGGGATCTCGCCCGCACTTGCTTTTTGTTTTTTGCAACCACCTCAGGGGCGTCCCGAGTTGGTGGCGGCTCTGCGGCAGTCGGCGAGTGCGGTGCTGCCCCTGGACTCCATCCTGCCGGCGGCTGCTGAGGCCGAGCAGGGCGGCCGGCAGGGCGAAGGGGCTGCTGAAGGGGCACTGGATGCGCGGCGATTCCCCCGAGCAGGTGGGGGTGGGGGTGCGGCCGGAACTGCGTCGCAGCTCATCCTCCGCTTCTGTTGGGCCATGTCCTGCTCTTAACTGTCGTGGCCCCATAGGGTCCATCATGAGCTCTCGCTCGTCGTCATCCCCCTTCCTTTCCCCTTTCGGCGCTATCCTTGCTGGCCGCACTGATCCCTTCATTTATGCTGCGGCACTTTTTTATTTCCCCATCCCTGCATGTTGCAGATAGAATTTTCCCCGCCTTGGTAACGTCTTAGGGGGCTCGCATATCCCTTTGTTCTTTTCCCTTTCTTTTCCTGTCCTTCAGGCCGGTGGAGCTCTCACCTGACGGCGCTGGTACAGCAGGACCCTCGGTTGGCCGACCCGCGCCGGCTGTGGGCCCACATGTACCGTGGCCATGACGGTCGCCACGACCCGCTCTACCGCCCCATCGCCTCCAATGAGGCCCCTTGGCTGGTGCGGCCCCTGGTGCTGGCTTCCACACGGATCAATGTGGCTCTGGGCCTTGATGCGCCGTACCGCCCTGGGGAAGAGGAGCTCGACCCGCCGGAGCACCTGGGCCAGCTGGCGTTGCTGTGGGCGCGGAAGCGCGGATACAGGTTGGGCCTGTGTCGGGGTTGCTGTGCCGCACTTGTTTGGAGCTCTTGCGCTGCTGGGGGATGGGCTTGTTGGGGGCTTGGGGGTAATGGGGCTGTCGAGTGTCGATGATGATGAAACCCTGATGCGAACGGCCCAGAGCCGCCCAGCTTGTGGAGTTGCTGCGCGAGTATGGAGTCGTGTCATTGAGCTGAAACGGGGCGGAAGGGGGACTGGGAGCTCGAGGAGGTTGAGAGCGGGTAATGTCAGAAGAAGTTGGGGAGACACCGATGTGACGAAGTCGGAGGCCACAAGGGCACCAATTGCGTGGGAATACTCAAAAAGGCAGAAGAGAGTTCTGCAGCTTGTCTTGAAACAACCTCCCCGCACCTTCTGGTTCGATTTCTTTCCCATCGCGCTATCTCCTGTACATATCCGGAGCCATCCGTGTTGGAGTCCAAGATTCTATCTTGTTCTCATTCCCTTCTGTGCGCCCAACCCTTTTTTCCGCTTGGTGCCTTGCCCAGGGTTAACCTGCGGATCTTTGCAGAGGTGCAAACGCTGGTCTGGCTGATGGTCCTCTGGTTGCTAGTGTACTCCGCTTGGCGCATGTTGGGCGGAAGCGGTTCCGGAGCCGGCGGTGGTGATGTCATCCAAGGCAGCCCGTACGGGAGAGCACAAGCGGACGCGTATGCCTACCAGCAAGATAGCTCGGGCAATTTATACGTCTCGAGCGAAGGCGTCGGCTCCTTACATTCACACTACCATGGAGCATATCACCAGGCGCATGAGGATCACTCCTATCCGGCGGACTCCGGGGAGATGCCGGAAGGCGGTTACAGGTTTAGGACATAGCTCATGAATGCAGGGAGGAAATGCGATTACGTTAAGCTGCGCCTACTTTCCAGTCTCTCAGAGATCCTGTACTTGGTGTTAAGGTCTTCGTGTTGTGTAATGACCGCCTTTGCATAGGTGTCTCGGGGATGGCAAACGCAAGAAAAAATCGGACAGGTGCCAAAAGTGTTTACGCTGCTAAAGAGCTGAAACGGAATGGAGGAAAGCCGAAAGCCCTTACGAGCCGGAGGCCCAAGGACCAGGCTAGGGTTGCCCCAAATGGATAAAAACGCAAAAGAAAAGAAAACGGCAGAATTCGAAAGAAGGTGCAGGAACACCTCGCCTCTGCTGAGAGAAACGAACAGGAACCGCTACCGGCCAAACAAGTGATGACCCCTGTCCGGACAACTGTCAGGCCAGAATAATATGCTCGTTGCTCCGTCAACCCCAGCGGAGCAAACCCTATTTCCTTCCCCCATGCCCCTCTCCTTATGTGGCGGTTCACGGGAGTCTGCACGTGGAGCGAACTGGCCGTTAGCTGTCAATAACTGCCCCTCCCTAGATCTGTCCGGGCGAAGATGACGAACAGAAACGCGGAAAGGAGGAGGGTATAACATGGGGCGTGGGCAGGTGGGTAACCAAGTAGCGGCTACATTGAACAGGTAGGGTGTCCCTTTCCTGTTCGACATTCCCTGCCTGTACGGAATCGGACATGACTCGCTAGCACTTCACTTCGCAGAAGCAATGGCGGAAAATAAAAAAAAGCAGGAGCAGCGGAAGTGAAACGAAATTGAATGAACGTTGGTGGTGTTTAAAAACACCGGGTTTTATGGTGGGCTTGCAGAACCCATCGACGCCACCTCCAGCTTAACCACCGAAGCCGTAGAGGGTGCGGCCCTGGCGCTTCAGAGCATACACGACGTCCATGGCAGTCACAGTCTTGCGGCGAGCGTGCTCAGTGTACGTGACCGAGTCACGGATGACATTCTCAAGGAAGTTCTTCAGCACGGTGCGGGTCTCCTCGTAGATGAGGCCGCTGATACGCTTCACACCGCCACGACGTGCCAGACGACGGATAGCAGGCTTCGTGATACCCTGAATGTTGTCGCGAAGCACCTTGCGATGGCGCTTAGCTCCTCCCTTGCCCAAGCCCTTTCCGCCCTTGCCACGTCCCGACATGGTTACTTGGTGAGAAATGAAGCACGGAACTGAAAGATGGGCAAGATTAGCTGCGATTAATCCTTCTGAAACTAGGGAAGTGCGCGGGCTTATTGGATGTAATTTATTGGACGAGCGTACGGCGGACCCGGTGAGCCGACCTCGAAACTACTGCGAAATTGAGTACCATGTCCATGATATAAAGTCCCCCGTCCAAGTGAACATCTAAACATTGAAGCAAACATTACAAACGTTTCACTTTATTTCTCGCTAATCACATTGTTGAAATGGCCCGCACCAAGCAAACTGCTCGCAAGTCCACCGGTGGCAAGGCGCCCCGCAAGCAGCTTGCCACCAAGGCAGCTCGCAAGACTCCGGCCACAGGTGGCGTGAAGAAGCCGCATCGCTACCGGCCTGGCACTGGTAAGGAGTCCCTGATAACGGCCAATGGCAGCAGCTTTCTGTGACTTCTCTTGTTTTTCCGGCCCACTTATGTTTTATAGCTATAAAGTACCTTGACCGTCGCGCTGCTTATTATGTTCCATTCCTATCCATCGGAAGCAAGTATCAACCGTTTTCTAAGTATGCATGCACGCCCCTTTTGCCCCCTCCCGCTTCCCTTCCGGCCGTGCCCATTTCTTGTTACACTTCTAGTGGCTCTCCGCGAGATTCGTAAGTACCAGAAGAGTACTGAGCTGCTTATTCGCAAGCTTCCGTTCCAGCGGCTGGTGCGCGAGATTGCCCAGGACTTCAAGACGGATCTGCGCTTCCAGAGCCAGGCCGTGCTGGCGCTGCAGGAAGCTGCCGAGGCCTACCTGGTGGGCCTGTTCGAGGACACCAACCTGTGCGCCATCCACGCCAAGCGCGTCACCATCATGCCCAAGGACATCCAGCTGGCGCGCCGCATTCGTGGCGAGCGGGCTTAAAGCTCGGCGTGCCGTGTGCGCTTCCCAAAAAAATCGGTGTTTTTTAACACCACCATGTTGAATTACAAGAATCGAAGTATGGTTTCTACACCATGGTTTCTTAAGCTCAGATCTCGTTTTTTTATATATTTGGGTTCCGCATGGATCTCTAAACGGGGCTGCATCACACAATGAGTCAGGCCTGGGCAACATACCAAGGGCTAAAGCGAGGTGATGCAATTACTCAAATATGCTTGTATGTGTGTTACATGGTCGCGGGGGTGCGTTCCCTGTTCGTCCAGACCGCCAAATACTAGCCAAGAGTGCTCGAGGGCTGCTGGATCGCCTACAAGCACCACACTACCTCGCACTGCAGACGAAGTGAAAAAGTAGAATAACGGCCTAAGGGAACGCCCAGTACGAGCCGAGGGCTCAAGGGCTGCCAGATCGCCTATAAGCACCGTCCTACTTCGCACTTCAGACAAACAAGTGGCAAAGGATACTAACGACCAAAAGGGATCGATGGAGTTGCGCTGGGTCCACATACGTTCCAGCATCTTTGCCAGACGTTCCCACTTCATAGCGTCCTTCATATGCGTGGGAAATCCATGTCAGATTTGATTTCGCCGTACATTGCACAGTCCAGCGAGATATGTGTGTGTATGTGTTACATGGTTGGGGGGTGCGTGACCCCATACCTGTAAAACTACCCATTCACCAAAATCTGCAGCTGGACTGCACTATCCTTCAAACAGGCTTCGAACATGCCCTCCGCAAGGTTGGCTTTATCCCGCCGCCTTCCCGGCCTGTCCACGACCTCTGCCAGCGCAAAAGGGCCCCACGCCTGGCAGCCATACAGTCAGCCACCGACATCCACATCCCCCCCTTTTTCCTCCCCCCCCACACCACCACATGACCATCTCTCTCCACAGATGCGCAATGCCGCCTTTGAGGAGTACTACAAGGCCCAGGATATCGTACCCGTGGGCGAGTGGGAGGCCTTTCTGTCCACCCTCCGCTGCCCGCTGCCAGTCACCTTCCGCATCAATGGCTCGGGCAAGTTCGCCGACCACCTGAGAGACAAGCTGAAACAGGACTTCTTCGCCAAACTGTGCAGCGGAGAGCTCGTGGTGAGTGGCGGCCCCCCGGTCAGTGTGGGTGTCTGTTTTGATACCTGAGCCGCGACATGGGAAAAGGCGGAAGTGGGTAGCTGCTTGGATTTTCCTTCCAGAAGATGTTGAACAGAAGCCCGTGGTATCATGAGACCGTTTGTGTATGTATGTATGTATGTATGTATGTATGTATGTATGTATGTATGTATGTATGTATGTATGTATGTATGTATGTATGTATGTATGTATGTATGTATGTATGTATGTATGTATGTATGTATGTATGTATGTATGTATGTATGTATGTATGTATGTATGTATGTATGTATGTATGTATGTATGTATGCATATAGTCATATATCATCTGGTACCTATCTGGTATTTGCTTCATTCGCCAGTGGTTCGTCTTGCCCCCCTCCCCTCCCCTCCCCCTTCACCTTCAGGTGGAAGGTGAGGCCGTGACCCCCCCCCGGCAGCTGCCTTGGTATCCCAACGGCTACGCCTGGCAGCTGGAGTTCAGTCGCAGCCAGCTGAGGAGGATGCCGCTGCTGAGGGACATCCACGACTTTGTCAAGCACGCTAACGACGCCGGCAGCATCAGTCGCCAGGAGGCGGTGTCCATGGTGCCGCCGCTGTTCCTGGATGTGCAGCCACATCACCGGGTGGGTGGGTGGGGGAATGGAGGGGTGGGTGTCTCTAGGGAGAGGGAGGGAAGAGGGGGCTGGCGGAGGGGGGGGTGGAGGGGGGAATCGAGAGGTCGGTTTAGGGGGAGGAGGGGCGAATCCAGGGGGGTTGTTCGGGGTGGAAACGGAGGAAGGTTTCCCCGTTGCCATATGTCCCCGGGCTCCCTTCCCAAGACACGAACCTTCATGCACACGACTAGTTTGAGACTCACCTGGACATAGACCTGGATCCAGAGTTATCCCTAGATCCGGATTAAAATCCGAAAATTCCATCCAATTCGACCCTGCGATCCAACACACATCTCTCTCTTTCTCTCTTTCATCTTTTGGTCACGACAGTATCTCCAATGCAGTACAGGTTCTGGACATGTGCGCAGCCCCCGGCAGCAAGACCTTTCAGCTTCTGGAGGCCATCCACGCCAACAGCCGACCCGGCCAGACGCCCCCCGGCTTCGTGGTCGCCAACGACGCCGACTTCATGCGCTGTAACCTCCTCACCCACCAGACGAAGCGCGTGTGCAGCCCCTGCCTGCTCGTCACCAACCACGACGCGTCCAGATTCCCTGTGTTTCTGGCGGGGGCGCCGACGGCGGCGGCACAGGCATCGGCGGCGGGGGGGGCATCGGCGCCGCCTCGACCTCCGCGCTACACGGTTCGTTTTGACCGCATCCTCGCGGATGTTCCTTGCTCTGGCTCGGACTTGGGTTGCAAAGCACCGCATTCGCAAGTCGGGGGCAAACAGCTTCATTTTTGTCCAGCTTTGCGCTTAAGGAAAACATAGCGGACCGACCTGTATCACATAACTGCTGACGGCACGCACTAAAAGGCCGCGAGATATGCTTTTCATCTTCGATATGGCTATCAGTGCCGCAGCATGGACATACCCACTCCTCCCTAGGTACAGAACGCCTTCCTTTGCACACTCTATTAGCGGTGACCCACGCCCAACAGCAAATCCTAAACTGGCCATTCCAATATCCTCGCCAGACGTGCTGGTTCCCATTTCATGGCCCACTTAGGGTTTGCTAATGTTGGGGAAAATGATGTTCTATGTGTGGGAGCACCTCGTTCCTGCCCGCTTGCTCAGCCGCCATGTGAATTCTCGGCTGCTTACGGTCTGACGGGTACATGTCTGGCAGGACACCTAGACGCGTATGCTCCAACCGCCCATCAACGGATCCTTGAGCTCCGATACAACACCTTCCGGCAATGGCCTATTCATTAGCCATTCCATTCGTTCACCTGCCTCAGGGCCCCTTTCCATGCTTCGTGCCCCAGAAAACTCAGAAAGCGGAGGACTAGTGACCCCCATCGGCCCCCTTCGGGATTGGAGAGGGCCTCTGCGATCTTCTGTCGCAAAACATGGTGTGCCACAGACTCACACTGTAAAATGACACGGTCCCAAACCTCACAATCTGCTTGAAAATGTGGTAGTGTAGGGGTAGTTGCGACAATTCAGCGAACAGGAGACGGTGTGTTGGTCTGGCAGCTCCCACAATTTGCAGCATGAACGATATCTGAAGCTGCACCGCTCCGTCCTTTAGGCATGCCTCGAAGGGCCCCTCTGCAAGGTTACTCGCATCACTCCGCCTCCTGAGCCTGTCCAAGACCTCAGCTAGCATAAACGACCCCCACGCTTGACAACCATACAACTTCGCAGGGGAGAGCAGGGAACTGCCTCGGGAAGGAGGCCATTGGTGAAGCTGTACCATCCTGTAACAACAACAACAACATATACGCCTGATGACCGACTTCGTGAATGAATACGCCTGATGACCGACTTCGTGCATGAGGCCCTGAACACGCCCGAGGCCCAGGCCCAGCCTGACAATTCAGCCGAGCTTAGCCGCTTTCAGGCAACTCTGGCACGCTTGTGGCATGGGGTGCGCTGGGAGAATGAGAACAAGGAGACAATGTGGCGTCTCGCCGTGGATGGCGTGCCCCTACCTGGCAACACGCACCTAGCCCGGGTGCCCACTGAGCCATGCGGGTGTGGGACCTATGGGGGCGCCGCCGGCCGACCCTGCCCACCGCGTCTGCACCATTTCTGGGAATGTCCAGTTGCACGTGCCGTACGGGAGCAGATCGACAGGCACCTGCCACACACTCAGACAACATTAGGGGCCACCACCACCCGGCAGCAGCTCTGGCTTGCCCAAGCGCCACCCGGGTGTGAGCAGGGCCCTTGGGATGTGATCGCCCTAGCGGCGCTATCCGCCATGGAAGTCGGCAGGTGCTGCCTCCGAGCAGCAACCGGGCGACAGGGACGGATGGGGGCGACAGCAACGGCGGGACAGCAGCAGCAGCAGCGACAGCAACAGCGACAGATGATGGGGCAGCCCCAGCAGCAGAGATCCCGCCAGCGGGCCATCACAGATTTCTTCACCCCGTCGGGAGGTGCAATGCAGCAAGAAGGACCCACCCTAAACGCCCCAGCGGATGATGGGCCAACGCAGGAAGCAGGGGCGGGAGGGGGCGAGGCGGTGGCAACAGCAGCAACAGCGGGCGCAACAGGAGCCTCGCCACTGGCCCGCGCACGCGCCCGGGCGGTGGCAGACTTCTGGGCGCCTTTGCGCTCGTTCGCAATGCTGGAGACCCCCAGACACGGCTGGGACAGAGTCGGGCCGCAGCACCCCATCCTGGCGGTCGTGGAGGAACGGATGCGGTGCGCAACACCGGTGGAAATCACGGCCTAAATTGCCGTGATAGAGTCGGGTCGAGGTCTTACCGGAATGGGAGCAGGGAGAGTGAGGGAGGGGGTGAGAGAGCCGGGAGTAGGGATAGGTGGGAAGGGTGAGGGTGTGAGGAGAGCAGGGAGGCCCTGGTCAGTTGGAGGGCTGGGCGAGAGGGCAGCGCCCTGAGCGTGGTCTAGCAGGGGGAGTTGGGGATCCGGGCTGTGTGCGTTTTGTGTGCTCGTGTGGTTGCCCTCTCTCCGGGAATTGGGGCCCGTCGGAGTGAGGGGAATGGGTTCTGTGCTGTCTGGCATCAGAGTAGAGAAGATGTAGGTGGCTTGTGAGCGTGGAGAGGAGGTGGGAAAGCGGTGGAGGAGAGTGGTTTGGAGGTGGAGAACAGGTGTTGCTGGTCCCGGCCGGTCAGGGTCAGGAGGGGAGGGATTTCGGTGTGGTAAGCGGGAGCAGGCAGCGTCTGTGAGCCGTGCCTTTTCCGGGCTTTATAGGGGGGCGCCGTGCTGGCTTGTCATCCCCCCCGCGGCAATAGGTGTTTTTGCTGTTCCTCGCGCTGGGCTGCACCCGGGAACCCGCAACCCCCAGGAGGAGACTGACATGCGGACCAGTTTTGCCTCGTTTGTGAGTGGACCGGCGAGGTAGTGGTGGCCACCCTCGGGAAGTGTTCGTTGTTCGTCGCTCGTGGTAGTTGAATAGCTAGCCTTCAAGGACCAGTGTGAGAGTACTCGCTTTGTGTTGGTCTTCTCTGTGCATCCATATCTCGGCGAGCCGTTAACCTGCGAGCCGACCAGGAATGGAGTTGCGCCGCTGTCGACCCGGCAGATTCCGTTGGATGCTGGTGGTGGGTGCGGAACCTGAGCGATCCACTGAGAAGTTGACTAGGGTGACTGGATGAGGGTGCCCCGAAATACCGGGGAAGGCAGGGTTTCGCAGGGTAGCTGCCACGGGCGAAGATACACCCCCCTGTTTCACACATCATATCTCGGCTTTTGTGGTGTGTCGTCTCAGGCCCGTGGTCCTCCTTGTATCTCTTGCCTTGCTGGCTGCGTGGGGCCCTGGTTTTTGTTGAGTGTGTAGAGGAGCCCCCTGAGTAGAGCCCCTGCCCCCGGTGGTGTTCTCTATTTGTTCTTGTTTTGGTGATCAAGAGGGACGAGAGCGCGCGAATAGGCAGGCCAGGCGAAGTGGCGCCTTTCGTGCGGTTCTTGCATAGTTCGGTTCGCAGTCTTCTGCGCCGCTGTGTTGCCTAGCCAAGGGCTGGGAGAGTGTCCCGGTTGGCGTGAGTGAGGGAATGAGGCGCGCGCGGAGGAACAGACGGACGTAGAGCCGCGCGCCCGTCCCTGCGCTGTGTTTCGGCCCAGTCAGGGCCCCCGGTGCTCGTCCTTTATTGGGCGAGCCGCCCACAGTGTAACACTCCATTAACAACAACAACAACAGTATTGCTCGTACCTGCGTATCAAAGCACCTTATCCTCACATCCGGGGCGAAAAACTTTAGCTTGTCCATGTTAGCTGCCCTAGCTGTGTCGTACAGCTGCTGACGGTATGCACAAAGCGGCCGTTCTGGCCCATACACTAAACCACAGATATCGTGCACTCTCCTTAGCCGGTACGGCCTCCCCAGCCAGCCTGAGCTCACAGCACAATGCTTGAACAGCACTTCTTGTGTCGCTGTCACTCGCAAAAACGAGGCGTTCACATTTCGACACATTTGGCCGCATCCCAAAATCATCACAGAACATGTTCACAACGTTAAGCAGCTCCCCCATGCGTCCTGGTGTCGTTGCCAGAAGACTAACGTCATCAGCATAGAGGAGGATTGACACTCGCTCATTGCCCAACCTTCGGTGCATCCTCCTGCCGTGCCCTGGTTTTAGCAACAGTCATGCATGTCGATGGCGTCCGCAAGAGTTTCAATGAAAAGTCCAAGCAACTCAGTTGACAGCGGACAGCCTTGTTTTACACCCTGTTTTGACTCAATTCGCCCGCATCAGCAACCACAGCATGGACCCTTCAATCCCTACCTCCTGCAAACGAAGCCACATTACCTCCCGCGGCAGCTTGTCAAATGCCTTCTCAAAGTCAACTTGCACAATGATTAACGGCCGCTGTCCCGGTTGGCCATGCCTAGCGGTGAGGTACTGCTTGGCAGAGAGATGATGAGTAGTACCAAAACCTCTTCTGAAACCCGCTTGGCCTCGGTGCCTAAGTTAAAGCGTCTCCCCCATGTGAACGAGCCTATCCAGGAGAACAAGCACATCACACTTCACCAAAGCGCCTCCTAACACTATGCCCCGGTAGTTACTCGGCATGCTGGGGGCCCCCTTCTTGTAAATTGGGGTAAGGACAGTGGTTGTAAACTGTCGTGGGAAGTCCCCAGTCGCCCCGATGTCTTCCAAAAGCACGTGCAGCACCGGAACAAGCTGATTCACTTCCCACCGTTGCCTGCATCCGCCTCTACCCGACACAGGGCCTTCCTCTTCTTGAGGCACGTGTGCATAGCGGTAACACTCCGACGGTACTGCTTCCAAGCCTGGCGCCTTACTGTTAGGCGGCCGGTCAACAGCATGTGTGACTTCCTCCAGCATGAAGTGGGTCTCTAGGATTCCCGTCGCCTGTCCAGTCCTGCCCCAAACCGAGTGGGATGTCCGCCATTCCTGCCCCCCTAGGTGTTGCCCTAAGTTAGTGAGGTTCAAAAGCCGAATCACACCATAAGGCCCACAGTAACAGCAAAGCAAAGTGCTCCCTGAATGAACCCCAATATCATGTATTGCAGATCGCTCTCTCAACTTCCCTCCCAAAACCCGCCCTAAAGCTCGTTAATCATGCCGGAACTTGGCCATAAAAGTTCTCATCCTGCCCTCCTCATATGCCGCCTTTACATGCCTTTTTGCCCGGTTGTAATCTGTCTGCGCGTGGCAGAAAGCCTCCCATTCCGGACCCGTATTATTACTCACCCGGCCTGGAGCCAGCAGTGGCCTACACCCAACATGCACTGTCGCGTTTGCCGGCATTCCCGGTTCCACCAAGCGGTATCCCCACCTGACATCATGCCGGCAGCATGATGCGCACCGAAGGGCCTCACCATGACTTTACACAGGACACCTCCAATACGGTCGACAGCTTGTGCGGTGTCGCAAACTCCACTCTGCAGATCCTGGGCCCCTTGGCGTAAGCCATGCATGGTGGGGGACCCCACCTCAAAACAGGCCGTGTAATCATGTTAACGAACAACATTAAACTCCACCCGGGCTTTCCGGCCCTTACCCATCGTACGCCCACCTCCATCACCCACTGTAACATTAAGAATGAGCATCAAGGGCCGGTGGCTTCCATCCATCCACCTCAATCAGGTTTCCCACCCTCAGAAAGGTGGTGTACTGGTGAAATACACGCGGAGTCACTATGAACAAGTCAATCATACTTAGGGAAAGTTAGGCGGCCTTCGAGGTCCCCTCTCAACCGCCGTTCATCACGAGCTGCCCTTCGGACCTGCAGAGCGCCCCAAGCTGGGCACCAAAGAAATTGCAAACTTAGCCCTGACAATTCCGAACTCCGAGTCCATCGTAATTCTAGTACTCCCGGAGTCCTTCAACCCCATGATCTCGCGTGCAGCCTGCAACTGCTCCAAATCTGGGATGCCATTCATGTAAGCGCTGTGATATGGTGCCTCCACCATCCGGGTAGACCTGGACATCTCTGGTGCAAGATAATCTCTGGGCTCCCATCAGGAGACTACCACCTGTAGAAAGGCTAATGCGTGCCCAAATGACGTCGCACCCTGGCAACTGGTTGTCCTTGTGCACTACCCCGCATGAGTTACCGGTTTTTCTGGCTCCCCATAAAAAAATTGACGGGCCGGCAAAATAAAACTTTATTTTCAGGATATAAGGAAATCGGTACGGTAAAACAAAATTTCAGTGTTTAGTATATCCAAATGGTTAGGTATTTTTCTGTTGTCTGGTAATTGTTTCCGTGACTCCTGAACATACAGTGCAACACCTCCATAATCGGCCCTCAGGGCTTCCTTTGACCTCTCCACCCGGAAGATACGGAACCCTTTCAAGACTATGTATTTATCCTCAATTGTGTCTCTCAAATGCGCCTCAGCTATCACTGCAATGTCATGACTCGTGATGAATGACCTAATTCCTGAATGGTTGAGGTTGAAAACTCCCGCCTCCAACAGCCCATGTACATCCCACTATAAAATCCGTTGCCCACACACCCCTAGGTGTCATCCATTTCATCAGCGTTCGGGAGATTTGGAAGCGGTTTGCCCTGTTACCCGCCAGTTAATCGCAGGCCCTGTCGTCCCTTCCCCCACTGCTGCTTCCTCCCTCGCCCCCCTGCCCGTTTCATGCACCTCCGTATCCATGCCCCTGCTATTGAACCCCTGCACCCGTGGGTCGCGTCCGGCTGGCAGCCGGTAGCTTGCCCATTCCAGAGTGCCTGGTGAAGCCGTGTATGTTAGTCCGATAACACCAACAGTTCACAACAGCTGTTTGGGGGGCTTTGCCTTCACAGTCTGGCCTCGGGTGGTATCTTACTTTTGTTGTTCTCGATGAGTGTCAGCTCAGAGCTGGGTGGGGCTGGCTCGGGAGGTGGTGGAGGAGGGGCTCTTGTGGCCAGGCTAGGCCCCACTGAGGGCACTATCACTGCTGGCCCTGCCCTGCAGGCCACGGATGAGGATACCGGTGCCCATACACCACACACCCGAGGTGACCACTGCTGGTGCAATAGCTACCACTGGGTTCACTGTGGCTGCGGCAGCTGGTGCTGCAGACCCTGTGGCCGCCGTCTTTGGGCCCCGTACACACCCCTTTCCTGGCTGCTGTTGCAGTCGTAGCTGCTGCTGCCACTCCCGAGGTGCCACCTCCGGTGCCCCTGCTGCCGCTGGCCCCTCCTTCACCGCCCCCTGTGCTGCCACCAAGTAACCACTGTTGTGGGCAGCTCTCTAACAACTTGGTCTGCAACCATTCTTACAGCGCGCCCGTTGTTGGCTCCGCTATTGGCAAAACCAAGCCCAGGTCGCTGTCAGCCTCATTCTGAATCCCATATGGCTGCACCTTTTCGCCTGACCACTCCTTTAAATACTACTTGTCCCCAATCCTCCAGACTGCAATCATGCCCTGCTGCAGCGGGGCCAGGCGCTTTCTCTCGAGCCTCCCTGCCTGTGTTAGGTTGTCGTCGATGCCGATCTTCTGGTGTCGCATGACCTCAGATGCCCTGAAGAAAGGTCAAAGTATGCACACCAGGTCCTACGGTCTTTGCTCGGGTCGTTGCCCAGGGGTCTGATCCGCTTGCGGGTGATGCCCGCCTCCCTTAGGTTTGCAGATGCCAGGCTTCCCACCAGCCCGGCTAACTATTCATTCAACTGCAACACCGTGAAGAACCGGCCAACAATGGCCGTTGATTGATAAGTTAGCCAGGGCTGGTCTGAGGCCTGGCATCTACAAACCAGGAACTCCGCATGATAAAGTATGAACAAGCCGAGTTAAAATACTTCATGAAGAATGGCGGAGGAGTCTTCTACGACGCCTTCGGCCTAGTCCACCAAAATGGGCTCTTCTACCTGGATAGCATGCGGATCTTTACCACTGGGAGTGTGGACGAGAGCAGGTTAAAGAACGTCCTAAGGGAGGCGGACGTCAATATTAAGCGGATCAGGCTCCTGGGGGACGATCCGAGCAAAGACCGCAGGACCTGGTGCGCATACTTTGATATAACGGAACGTCCCTCATTCTTCAGGGCAGCTGAGGTCCTGCGGCATCAGAAGGTCGGCATCGACGACAATTTGACACAGGCGGGGAGGGTCGAGAGAAAGCGCCTGGGCCTGCTGCGGCAGGACATAATGCGACAAGGCATGATCCCAATCTGGAGGAATGGGCCTGAATTATAAATAATGGAGCGACCAGGCGGAAAGGCGCAGCTATAGGGTACCCAGAGTGATACCGACAGCGTCCTAAAAGCTACGACAAACACTGAAAGGGATAGGACTCCGGTTCTGGTTGGGATGTACGAAGGGTTTATTCGGCACAGTACGACCGGACACGATTGTGCGAGACAGGGAAACACCGGGGTCCTGGTGAAGCAGCTGACCACGTACTAAAGTATATAGATGCCGAAGGTGCCGAAGTATGTCGGTGAAACATGATGATGTTGTTGTTGTTGTTGATGGGGTGTTACACTGTGGGCGGCTCGCCCGATAAAGGACGAGCACCGGGGGCCCTGACCGGGCCGAAACACAGCGCAGGGATGGGCGCGCGGCTCTACGTCCGTCTGTTCCTCCGCGCGCGCCTCATTCCCTCACTCACGCCAACCGGGACGCTCTCCCAGCCCCTGGCTAGGCAACACAGCGGCGCAGAAGACTGCTGACCGAACTAAGCGAGGGCCGCACGAAAGGCGCCACTTTGCCTGGCCTGCTTATTCGCGCGCTCTCGTCCCTCTTGATCACCAAAACAAGAACAAATAGAGAACACCACCGGGGGCAGGGGCTCTACTCAGGGGGCTCCTCTACACACTCAAAAACCAGGGCCCCACGCAGCCAGCAAGGCAAGAGCTACACGGAGGACCACAGGCCTGAGACGACACACCACATAAGCCGAGATACGGTTGCACAGAGAAGACCAACACAAAGCGAGTACTCGCACACTGGTCCTTGAAGGCCAGCTGTTCAACTACCACGAGCAACGAACACTTCCCGAGGGTGGCCACCACTACCTCGCCGGTCCACTCACAAACGAGGCGAAACTGGTCCGCCTGTCAGTCTCCTCCTGGGGGTTGCGGGTTCCCGGGTGCAGCCCAGCGCAAGACACAGCAAAAACACCTATTGCCGCGGGGGGGATGACAAGCCAGCACGGCGCCCCCATATAAAGCCCGGAAAAGGCACGGCTCACAGACGCTGCCTGCTCCCGCTTACCACACCGAGACCCCTCCCCTCCTGACCCTGACCGGCCGAAACCAGCAACACCTGTTCTCCACCTCCAAACCACTCTCCTCCACCGCTTTCCCACCTCCTCTCCACTCTCATAAGCCACCTACGTCTTCTCTACTCTGATGCCAGACAGCACAGAACCCATTCCCCTCACTCCGACGGGCCCCAATTTCCGGGGAGAGGGCAACCACACGAGCACACAAAACACACACAGCCCGGATCCCCAACTCCCCATGCTAGACCACGCTCAGGGCGCTGCCCCCTCGCCCTGCCCTCCAAAACGATGAACAGGTAGAATGTCCCTTTCCTCTTCGATATTCCCTGCCCGTACGGAATCGGACATGCCTTGCTAGCACTTCACTTCGCAGAAGCAATGGCGAAAAATAAAAAAACGCAGGAGCAGCGGAAAAGAAATGAATTTGAATGAACGTTGGTGGTGTTTAAAAACACCGGGTTTTATGGTGGGCTTGCAGAACCCATCGACGCCACCTCCAGCTTAACCACCGAAGCCGTAGAGGGTGCGGCCCTGGCGCTTCAGAGCATACACGACGTCCATGGCGGTCACAGTCTTGCGGCGAGCGTGCTCGGTGTACGTGACCGAGTCACGGATGACATTCTCAAGGAAGTTCTTCAGCACAGTGCGGGTCTCCTCGTAGATGAGGCCGCTGATACGCTTCACACCGCCACGACGTGCCAGACGACGGATAGCAGGCTTCGTGATACCCTGAATGTTGTCGCGAAGCACCTTGCGATGGCGCTTAGCTCCTCCCTTGCCCAAGCCCTTTCCGCCCTTGCCACGTCCCGACATGGTTACTTAATGTGACTTGGATAGCGAAGTTGAAAGTTGGGCAAGATTAGCAGCGATGTTGTTTCTGTAATTTGCGAAGTGCGCGGGCTTATTGGACGTAATTTGTTGGACGAGCGTACGGCGGACCCGGTGAGCCGACCTCGAAGCTATTGCAAAATTGAGAACGATGCCCATGATATAAACTCCCCCGTCCAAGTGATCTTATACAATTTAAGCTAACAAGACAAACGTCTCATTATACTTCTCGCTTATCAGATTGTTGAAATGGCCCGCACCAAGCAAACTGCTCGCAAGTCCACCGGTGGCAAGGCGCCCCGCAAGCAGCTTGCCACCAAGGCAGCTCGCAAGACTCCGGCCACAGGTGGCGTGAAGAAGCCGCACCGCTACCGGCCTGGCACTGGTAAGGAGGCCCTGATAACGGCCAATGGCAGCAGCTTTCTGTTACTTGTCTTGTTTTTCCGGAGCAGCTCTCCTCGCCGTGTCGCCCACTCACGTTTTATAGCTAAAAAACGACCTTGACCGTCGCGCTGCTGGTTACGTTCCATTCCTATCCATCAGAAGCAAGTATCAACTGTTTTCTAAGTATACATGCGCGCCCCTTTTGCCCCCTCCCGCTTCCCCGGCCGTACCCTTTTCTTGTTGCATTTTTTAGTGGCTCTCCGCGAGATTCGTAAGTACCAGAAGAGTACTGAGCTGCTTATTCGCAAGCTTCCTTTCCAGCGGCTGGTGCGCGAGATTGCCCAGGACTTCAAGACGGATCTGCGCTTCCAGAGCCAGGCCGTGCTGGCGCTGCAGGAGGCTGCCGAGGCCTACCTGGTGGGCCTGTTCGAGGATACCAACCTGTGCGCCATCCACGCCAAGCGCGTCACCATCATGCCCAAGGACATCCAGCTGGCGCGCCGCATTCGTGGCGAGCGGGCTTAAAGCTCGGCGTGCCGTGTGCGCTTCCCCAAAAAATCGGTGTTTTTTAACACCACCATATTGAAACGCAAGGACCTTGTCAGTTTGAAGGTTGCTTTCGGCACCATGGTGTCTCGAGCTGTGATCATTTTTTCTAGATATTTGGGTTTCGCATGGATCTCTACACGCGGCTGCATCGCACAATGAGCCAAGCCTCGGCAACATATCAAGGGCTTAAGCGAGGCGATGCAATTACTACCTAAAATGTACACTGGCACGGCTACGACACTTTGCCCCTTCGTAACCTGCAAATACCCACACGTGCCTACCATCCCTAAGTTAACATTTACATGGGGCAAGGTATTGGTATATTTTGGACCTCCTCGTCCATGACCCGCGTCCCCCGGGCCAGCATATACACGGCGGGCTTAAGAAATCCCGCACACACACATGCGACACATATGGCCTAGCTCCATTTCACATAGGTACGGGGAACGCACCCCACGACCATGTGTGTGTGTGTGTGTTACATGGTTGGGGGGGCGTGACCCCATAACTGTAAAACTACCCGTACGAGCCGAAGGCCCAAGGGCAATATCTATACGCCTAAAAGCCACGGAGAACAGGAAACACCGCACATCAGCCCAGACTATCATTATAGGCTGGGCATTCCAATAACACGTGTTTTTCATCCTCGATTCGGCTATTAGTACCACAACAGCGGCAAAACCGCTGCCCCCTGGGGACATGGTACTTGCCTCTTCGTGCTCTGTTTGCCTCCAGAGCCCAGCAACATAAACGAAACTGCATTAGCTTACGATGTGCTAAACGAGGAATGAAAAACTTAGCATGTGTTGGCCACATGACGGCTGCGGCTCCCGAAAAGGGCAGCCCCATCCAGTGCTTATGCGTCGCCATTTGCACCCCCAGTTGCTTCCCATCTGATGGGTACTCCTCTGGCAAGACAGTCAGACGCGTATGGTCCCAGCCGCTCATCAAACGCTCTCTTAGTGCCGTTATCATCGCTCCTTCGGGTAGAGGCCTACTCAACAACCAGTCAACACGCTCCTTTACCCCCATAACTTCTTGCGGTATTCCGCTCCAAATATTGCTCTCCAAGAAGGAAAACAGTCGTAACATTGAGGTTCCCCAACCCTCCCATTCCGGGTTGGTCAGAGCATCGGTTATCTCCTGCCGTAAAACTGCATGAGCAATGGACCCCACTTGCTTTCGGAGGCGGTTCCAGAAACGACCATGTAACACACACACACACACACACACACACACACACACACACACACGTGTGGCCTAGCTCCGCAACATAAATGTGTACATTAAAACTTGTCGACTACGTGGCGGTACTCTTCTCTCAAGCGGTATCCATACCTCTCCTAGCGGGGGCCCGGCCCGCACAGGGGGTAACACATGGATCAACACAGTACTGAACATGTGGCTGTGTGCCACCCATGCTGTGGTCCGCCTTGGCTTGTTTCCTACGGGTCCTCGAGACACACTCACCTCACCTCACCTTCCCTTCACCTCCCGTTCCCCGCCGACATACATACACGGTGCACCTCAGGGCGTGTCCTCCGCCTCCTCCACCTCCTTGGGGCTGAGGTAGGGAGTGTGGGTCCCGGTTCCGCATCATCATGATGGGTCCCGCATCATCATGATGGGTCCCGCATCATGAAAGGTTCTCGTGCCACCGCAACCCTACCGCTTCTGAGTCCTGACGCATCATCGACAACAATAACCGCAACCAAAGCCTCCAACAAGAGCTACCTGAATATCAAATCGTACCATGTAACAACCTGCAACTGTAACTAGAGCACTACTGCATCACCACCGCCATCATGAAGCGCAATACCGCCGCCTGCAGTATATGTATTACACACAGTTAACAGCAACTGCAGCTGCAGCTGGAGCAGTAACAGCAGCTGCAGCGGCTGTAGAGCACCGCAGGAAGGCCAGGGTCCGCACCCCCCTGCCTGCCTCGTTCCGACTAACTACCGCCGCCGACTCAGCAGCCTCAGAGCTTGTGGGGTGTCCAGGAATGCGGACAGCCGCAGGGGCATCACAACCCGGATGTCGCCATCCGCGTTGCCGGCTCTGCGCAGCACCGGCTCCTACGGGACCGGGGGGTGCGGGGGGGGGAGTCAATAGCCGGCCCAATGGGAATTACGGAGAGTTGAAGCAGCAGCGCAGAGGCAAAGGCAGGGTTCAAGACGCAAAGAGGGTCCGGAGAAGGAGGAGGGGAAGGAGAAGGAAGCTGAAATTAAACCATCAGTTGGCGACCAGCTACTTCCCTCTTGGTTGATTCATTGACATTCCATTGGAGTCCGTACATACTCCACCACCACCCACCTCCAGCCTGCCGTCCTTGTACATGTGTCGATAGAAGCAGCTGGTGGAGAAGGGGCAGCTGCCCTCGCCAAAGTTGAAGTGCTTACAGTCAATGCTCGCCAGACGGTCCTTGTACGCCGACACGATGCCGGCCTTCTCCTCCGAGGATGCCGGCCACACCAGCGACGGCGTCACAAAATGCGACGGCGTACGACAGATGGGGCAGGTGCGTACGGCAGTGTCGGTCGCGAGGGTCGCATCGTCTGTACGGCCCCTCCAGGACCGGATGCAAGCCAGGCAAAAAGCGTGGTCGCACGACGTGAGCAGACCGAAGCGCCGCTCCGACACACTGTACAGCGCGGCATCCGTACACACGGTGGCCATGACAATGAAGAGTACGAGGCGGGCGCAGGGCAGGAGACGAAGTGGAAGAGCACGCCGGTACATGCGGTTCACCGGAGTACTTCAGCAGCACCGAATTTCTTCATTCTTTTCATTCCGTCTACACAAGCACCCCTTGTTCCCATGTACTCCCCCATCCCAACTTCCACCATCCGCAGGTTGCCTTCTTTGGCCTCTCCTGCATATTCCTCCGCCCTCCAACCCCCTACTCCGCCCTCCCGTCCTCCCCTCCCTCCCCGCGACGGCAAGGCGCCCCCCGACCCGCGCTGTGATCCGCCGACCCACCGACCCACCTGGGTTTGGACAGCACGAGCTCCAGGCAGATGCCGCACTCCACCGAAGCAGACCTCAGACGGGCCTCCAACCGCTCGTGGCGCAGCCGACACGTGGAGCGGTGCTCCTCAGCAGCCTCCGGGTTGTACGGATTGATCCGGAACTTGTGGCAGATCTGGTGTTGCTCGGGGCAGGACGCAAACAGCGAGGGTGGATATCGCGCGCGTGTGTGTGTACGTGTGTGTATGTGTGCATGTGTATTTATACGGCACACACGATGGGTCAGTTTTTAACTTCCATTCATTTGTTAACATCATTATCACTATCATCCAGCTCACTGCCCAGCCCGATGCCGTCGTGACAACCTAGGGCTTTCAGCTGAAGCATGAGCCACGATTTCACAACTACAGAGGTGCTGTAGGCGGTCAGCGGTCAACAAGTCAACAAGTACGGATTGAACCCGAACCCAAGCCCTAGGCCGCCATCACACCCACCTCACACTGGAGGCCGTGAATCAGTTCACAGTCCTCCCCCTGGGCACATCGCCCGTGCAGCGAAAAACCCGGACATAAATCCACATCTGCGGGATCCACGGGATCCACTGCCGCTGCCGTACCGCGCCCGCTGATGCCGCCGCCACCCGGCGTCGCCGCCAGCTCCCAAGGATGCTGTGCCGCTGCCCAACGGGAATGACCGCCGCCGCCGCCGCCGCTACTGCCCCCTTGGAGTACTGGCGGCCGGGTGCCTGTCGCTGCCGCCGCCGCTAGTTCCTGCTCCTGTAGCAGCCCTACGTCGTCATCCACCATTGTCAGGCCGCCACCGCCGCCGCCGCCGGCTTCCTCTCCGTCGCCGTCGCCGCCATCGTCATAGCCATGGATCCCGCCGCAGACATCGTCGTACTTGCGTTCCCCGCAGTAGCCGTACCCGTACTGCTGGCCGTACCCGTCGTAATAGCCCCCCTCGCCGTGCTCGTAATCCAAACCGTTTTCCTCGTCGTACCCGCCTTCCATCTCGCCGTATTCGCCGTACTCTTCGTACCCTTGTTCCATCTCGTCGTTCTGAGCGCCCCCGCTGGCGGTGCAAGCCTCACCTGGGGGAGCTTCCTCCGCTAGCGCCGCCGCGGCATCCTCCCAGGAGTCATGAACCGTAACACCAATCCCTGACCGCCTAGACGACGTCCCGCCGCTGGCGCCGGCCCCCCCACCTTCCCCATCCGTCCCGACGGCGTTGGTGTCCAAAAGCGACCTTGGCAGCCGAGCCATGTGCTGCTGGAGGTGCTGCTGGTGCTGCCCGTCCGCATGCGAGCCCACCCTGAGCTGCCCCGTCGTGTCTTGCTGTTGCTGCTGCTGCTGCTGCTGCTGCTGCTGTCCTTCTTGATGTCGTTGTTGCGGTTGTAGTGGCGGTTGTGACGTTGACGGAGCTCCGGGCAGTTGGGCCGACGCCGCCTGACCTGACCTACTACTGCTTTTCCAGCTGTACTCGGGTCGTTTATGGTCGTACCGACAACGGTTGCCGTACGCACAGCACCCCGCCAGGTAGTACTTGCACACCTATTCGTTTACATTCCCGGCGGGGTGGGGGGTTGGGGGGGGGGGAAGGCGAACCACGAACCCGCGTGAAGCTGCTGCCAAGGAAAGGGTGAGCAAGAAGCAGAACTGACCAGTAGGCGTTCTTGAAGGGGGAGGGGGAGGGGGGAAGTTGAACTGACCGGTGGGGGTGGGGGGGGGCCCCGCCGAAATGGAGGACCCTTCAGTCTGCCCTTCTTATGCGCCCCTTGCTCCTAAGGTGGGGCTTATGGTGCTGCTGGGAGTGGGGGAGTCGCTGGCTGGCTGGACGACCCTACCCGGAAACAGAAAAGGGGCGATCTGAAGGACCCAAATACGATGGGAGCACAAAGCCCAGGACAGCCCCTGAACCCCAAAGCCATCATCATACTACTACACACTACTACATACTACTACAGCGCCCCCCACGAGGTTTGGCGCTGTTCGTACAGACCCGCCACCTGCCTTGACGCCTTATTGCATTTTCCCCCCAATACATATTTCCGTACTTCCGTACTTCAAACCCAGATCAACTCTTCATGCTGGACTAGCAACATCGACGGCGCCCACCCACCCACCCACCCACCAGGTTGGGGAGGTCGGTCAGGTCGTGGGAGAAGGCGCAGTCGGCTCCGAAACGGCATACCCCGGACATGTGGTATTTGCACAGCACCTTGGTCCTGTAGCCGAAACCAAAAAAGGAGAGAGGAAATTGATATAATCCAAATCGTAATTTATATTCGTGTCTTTGAATTTTCGATTTGATTTGATTGGTATCAAGCGGAAAGCTGGAAGGGGGATGAAATGGAAATGGGTTGCATCAGGCGGGGACAGGAGGGGGAAAGTGCGAAGTCCGTAACGAGAAAACTCCAGGGAATTCAGAGGTTGACTGTGCGTGTGGCTCAAGAGGTGAGGCCAAGCCGGCCGGCCAGCGCCAGTCATACATACAGTCATACATACAGTATTACACGCACTTGCCAAGACAAACGGCACCAGGGAAAGCCAGGTGGTGGACCATAATGCAGAAGGGGGTTCTCCCAAGCGGTGTGCGGGGGTGGGCATCTGAACGGTGATGATGAGGCCAGAGATGCAGGGGAGGGTGCATAAGCAGGCAGCTAAGCAGCTAGGCAGGTAGTAGATGGGGTTCACATGGTCACTGATCCGCTTTCCTTCGGCACCGCGGCATTCGGTGATTCGATTTGGTGAAAAGTACAGCCACGACGCACGAGGCCCGGTCTTAATCGCAGCATGGGTCCGATAACCTACTTGTCGGACATTGCTTCTTGCCCGATGGACTCAGGACCGCCGAAAAGTCTACCCGCTTAGGAGCCGTCGTCGCCTTGGTACGAAAAAAATGCCCCGAGCTGTGTTCGGGACTCGCTTCTCCGCCAGGGTGAACGAGAGTCACGTCCCCAGGGTCGGCTGTCCGACGGTTGGCGAAGCTAAGCACCAAACGTGAGCGGAAAGGAGGGTTTTTGAGACGCTCGGTGTAGAGTAAGTAATGTATCGATGCTAAGTTGCTACGGGGCTTGAATGGGTGGGCCTATCGTGGACATTGTCGCAACGCGACTACATCACAGGCCGGACACAGTTTACTTCGGGATAAATTTTACAGCGGTATGAATACCTAAGACCGACAGGTGCATAAAAGATGTAACAATGTGTTATTTTGCAGAGTCTAGAGTGAGTTTGGAAGAGCCACCCTGGAGTGCAAACCGGCCGCCTACTTGGCCAATCGATGGTCAAGGTAGTCTCTCTTTTTCGGGAACTTGCCCCTTTTTGGTGAGTATTGCTGCAAGGACATTAGATTAATCGCGGATAACCGTAGGGCGGAACTTTCAAGCGGGGGCCATTACTCGTCTGTCGCAGAACAAAAGAGCAAGGAAGAATGCCGGGTGGCCAAGGTCTCCGTGCCCGCACGCGGCATATGTTTGCCCGTGGCTTTCGCCAGAAGGGCTTCATTCCACTGACCACGTACCTGCGGACCTACAAGCTCGGGGACTTCGTGGACATCAAGGTTAATGGTGCCATTCATAAGGTATGTATTGGGTTACTGGACGAATTATGGTGCTTATTGGCTTCTGGTGAAATGCGGCGCTTGCTCAGCCGCCGTAAAAAGCTGTTCGTTGGCGCTTACGCCCGGGACATCGCAATATGTAATGAATTTTTGTAGGGTATGCCCCACAAGTGGTACCAGGGCAAGACTGGTGTCGTCTGGAACGTCACTAAGCGCGCCATCGGTGTGGAGATAAACAAGCGGGTAAGGCAAATGGCGTGGAACTGGGCTGGGAAATCGGTTTCGGCAATTCTATAAGGCGTGGGGGGGCTTTCTGGTCATGTACAGCCTGGCCTTGCGTTGGTTAGATACCCATGGTGTGGACATGGCTGGACCCAACCAGAGCGGCCAGTATTGATGTGGACAAGCCCCACAGCAATGGAGGAGCCAGCGAAGAAGCACGGCAGGCTTGGCGCAGAGCGGCAATGGTCAGGACCGTGGAGTAGCAAGGAGCAGCGGTCAAAATGTCACGATGATCAATGCACAGCCATCTTGGCACGCCCGGTTTTCAAAGCAGGCCATGAGGGAGTTGTACCTGTTTGATCCGCAGCATGGGATTACGACCCCACAGTTTACCGAAAACAGTCGGGCCATGATATGTGCAAGAGGGGACGTGTCCGTGAGTCATAAGACCACACAATACGTACAGCTAGCTCAGACCGCAGAGTTTCTGTTAAAACTAGAGCCGGCCAGGGGTGGGGGTATGGAGCCTTGACCAGCTTCTAACCCTGGGTATGGAATGCCAACTTGGCGTTGGCTGCACACGTAACCTCTCTTTCTCACACGGGTGGCGCCGTTACCTCTGGATCCAAGCAGCTACACGGAGGAACACCTCCGGCAGCCAGTGTGCCTATGCTTACTGGGTTATCCTGACAGAGCCTAGGGTACTGGGAATTATGATGCCCTTAATGTTGGAACTTCCTGGTTTGTCAGCGGAATCCATTTGGGTCGAGTAGTCCTGGCAACTGCAATTTGTTCTGAGTGCATGGGTTGCCTAAGTGCTGAGCCGTTGGTCTTTCTGGGTCGGAGGGTGCGGACCTGTTGCTGATTTTCCTGTGATGCTTTGCGTGGGATTAAGATGAGGATGATTTTCTGCAGTTATGTGTTGTTCGGGGCGTCTATCCTGTACTCATTACCTTGGGACTCGCGTGCGAACGTGTCGGAGGAAACGTCGTCCGTGTACAATCCTGCATGTGGGTTTTGAACTGCCCTGTGAGCTGTGAAATCCAATTTTGTTCAGTTGTGCGTACTAAGAAAACTACGTTTCAGCGTTTTCACCCCTGCATGTGTTATCCTCCATCAGGTTGGCCACCGTATTATCAAGAAGCGCATTCACGTGCGTGTGGAGCACGTTCAGCCATCGCGGTGCCGCGAGGAGTTCCTGGCGCGCCGTGCAGCAAATGATGCGGCCAAGGCTGCGGCCAAGGCCAAGGGCGGTGAGTCTCTGGGTTCGCTCACTCAATTGAATTACCAGCAGCTGATGGTGCATTTGGGCTTGTGCTGGACGTTGATATCATTTCTCATCATTTCCCGCCACCGTGTGGAGAGATACACAGATTATTGTAATCTCAGAGGAACCGAAATCCTTTTCAGTGTACACGTGTCTTTTGGCCCTCCTGCAATCCCCTGTATATACGGGGCCCATACATCCTGATGTCTGAGTCCCCACTCTACGTGCTTGCGTTGCAGAGCCGGTGCCCAAGACGAAGCGTGTGCCCCAGGGGCCCCGCGGCGGCTTCGAGCTGATCCCGGAGAAGGTGGAGACCATTGCCGCCATCCCGTACGACATCATCAAGGAGGGCCTGGTGTAAACGGTGCGCTGGGTCCTGGTCCGGGGCGGGTCGGTTGTTTTTAAACCATTATGGGGGGATGACATGCCCACAACCTAGTGTGGAAAGTTGTGCGCGCCCAGCACTAGTGGTTCGTCTTTTCCCCCTCCATCAGTTTCGGTTTCGGCCTGGCGAATGATTGTGTTCGGGTCATTTGTACGGTAACCGCGGTCTGTGAAACCCCCAGCGCCCAACAACTCCCGTGTTGTCCACGTGCCCTAACTTGTTGCCTGGTATGTGTGGGTAGGGAATGATTTGCTTGGGATGAATGAAGCTCCTAGACGAATGTTTTCTGTTGACGGCCTAAGTTTCCGTTGCCCTAGCTGCCTACCGCCAATTCCGTTGCATTGTTAGTGATTAGGCTTTCTCTTTAAACCTGCTAAACTGCCGCATCCCTCTCGCTGGTGTCCTTTTGCCGATTGCATCCCCACAGGTTGTCTGTGCTGGCTGCTTTTGCGCATTCAGGGGTGTGTAACGGCATAGACGCTGCTGTGATCATATGTGCGACTCCTTGCCTAAAACATTTTCAGCCGCATGAATACAATCGCAGAACATGCTATGCCTCGGTCATGTACTGCAGCAGAATGTCCAGCTCTAAATCTCAAACGAATACACAGGGGTTGGGAGGTGGACATTCTGAGTATGGTGTACCACTTACGGCCCCCGGCTTGCCCCATGCGAAATAGACGGAACAGTGGTTTGCCATATGCAGTGTGACTGCTTGGAACTATATAAGAAGTTACATGGTGGTGCTGTATTTGAAAGAAACAATCTAGCATTGTATACAAACGTATTAACTTGTACGTGAACACCGAACCTGCTTGGAAATCCGACATTATTTTCGCACTTGGCCTACACCACGACATCGCATTAATTCATGCTCAGCGAAAGAACGTTTCTGAGTTCCTGATTTCTTGGGCAAGGGCACATTAACATAATAGTTATCGGAGCGGCTGCACGTCACTGGGGGGCAACGGCTTATTGGCCCCCAGTCCGTCGTCGCCGCTTTCCTCCGCTAACCCCCAGACGCCCTGGTGATCAACTCGGAAGCAACAGTAGGAGTGCGGTAGGTAGGGCGCAAATACCACCTGCGGATAGGGAGAAGATAGCTAAAGTCTAGTCTAGGCCGCATCTTGGAAATTCACCGTGGTAAGGAATGCGTGGCCATACAAGATATGGATGATACTATATCAGTGGCCAAGCCGTTGGTCAAGTTTCAGTAGTCAAGAAAACTCTGTACACAGCCCAGGACGCATGCAAAGAAAGCCACGCTATAATACATGCGCGCACCTGCAGGCTGCGTACGACGACACCATTCCAGGAGTCGTGTCGTGCGGCGAATAGGCGGCAATTGACGCAGTTGGCCCAGGCCAGCCCCAGCGCCGGTAGCACTCGGCGACCGGAGCTGAGCAGCGGCGCCGCCCTGGACCCTGGTGCTGTCACCTGCCAAATAGGAGGACCCCGAACCCCATGCGGACCCCAGTAGAGTATGTAGGTCAAGTCCAGTCCACACATCAGTTGCAAGAACGGCTGGAACGCCGTGTATGAAGGACGTGGACGCCGGGGGGGAAGCGGTGCGATCGTTGGGAGGTCTACGTCAGCGCACATGTTATGTTTGCTGTTCATGTGAGGTGTTTGGATGAGAGCCACATCCATCCATCCATCATGCGACCCACCCGTGACGTTACAGCTTGTGAGTCCGAGTCGTTGAAGTCGTCCATCACCTGGTTGGTTAGCAGAACGGCCAGCTGGTGCTGCTGGGCTAACCGCTGCAGAGGGGAGAGAGGGTGTACGGGTGAGGAGAGTTGGGGCCCAGGGCCTGCTAGCCCACTGCATCCATAACACCACCCAATGCAGGCGGTGTCTCATGGGGATTGAATGCCCCCAGCATCTCCACCGTCTACACACACAAAACACAAAGCCAAGCAAGTGTGTGACCACCCACGTGTGACCACCCCCGTGTGACCACACACCTACCTTGAGTAGGGTTGCAAGCCCGAATAGCTGCGTGGCTCGGCGCTGCAGCTGTTGTACCTGCAGACCCCACCCGCACCGGCATCACAACAGCTGGCTGATGAAAGGAAAGAGAACACACGCGGGAGGTGAAATGTGAAGCTCGGCAAGGAACAACGGTGGCATCGCGGCTTCTTCATTACGCCTCAGGTCATGATAACAAAGGTGGCAGTGTTGACGTGCAGCAGCATAAACCCTGAGGTCTCGGAGACTATGCACGCAGCGCTCCGCCGCTTCGTTCTCATACGGGAGCGGGAGGATGACGATAGTCGCCCCCGACACCGTCGGGGGCATAACCTCTTTCCTTCGGTCCATGCCCCCCTGCTTTGACGGTACCCTCCGCATTTGCGCGGACACTGAAACTGTAATATGGACATGATGATGATGATGATGACGATGATGATGGCGATGATAATGAGGAGGAGGAGGAGGCCACGCAAGGTGAGGATGAGGCCACAAAAGGGCGCAGCGGGTGCGGTGCAGTGTCCCATAATACGTGTCCCTCCCAGCTCAATACCCTGAGTTACAAGTTCCGCACAAGTGCGGGGCCCCGCCCGTGTGACAGCCCCGGGGAGGAGGGGGCCCCGTGGACGGTCAATAGCCCCGCCATTGCGGCGGCCCCCAGTGAGGAGGACGTGTTGACGCCCTCCCCCGCTCGCCGGGGCTCCCCCCTTACACCCCTCCCCCCAACACTTACCTGTGGCTCGTCCCCCTCCGCGACATCGCGGAATACGCGAGCCACGGAGTCGATTACAAGCAGTCGAACCACCTGGCAGCGCAACCCAAGAAGGATTAAGCCAACTAAAGAGACGGACGGCGGCCACTGCTTGGAGTTCTACGAGAGGAAGGAAAATAGCTGCCACGATATGACACACGATATGTCTCAGGCACGAGCACTATGCGCTGGCGCCTGGCGGCCACTGCTTGGGGAGTAGGATGCCGTTTTTACAGTGAGGTCATGGCACCCGCCCCCCCCAGCCACATGTCTGCCTCAGCAGAGAGCTCCTGAACTTAGCGGGGGCTGCGAAAGGGCCCCTGTACGGCAACTAAACCTCTCCTCCCCGATGCAGAAACCGCACCCGACGGCCACCACTCGCTCCCGCGGCGCCACCTCCGGAAGTTAGATGTGGCGGCGGCAGCGGCGGCACCGCCGCCTCCCTCTCCAGTAGCGCCTCGAGCTGCCGTACAGATCTCAGTAGATCTTCCGGTGTGGCAATAGGGCGCTCCTCGATTAGCACGTTGGCTAGGCTGACGTCAGGTCGCCTGGTAGAGACACAAGGAGCAAGTACGGCAGTGAGCATACTACACATACAGCGGTACATGAGCGGCGTGCTTGCGCTTAGTGGTACCACTATGGCCGTCCGTCATCGGACTAGGCACATCTCCAAATGGCATGCATCCCCCCCGCCGCCGCCACGGCGATGGCGGCAGGAAGAATATAATGGTTTTAATGAAAGACCTGCACACGATGCGTCGGTGACTTTCTTTTCCTCGTCTTTTCGCTTCTTCGTCTTTTTGCGTCGCACAGCGGCCTCATCCCTTAATGCATTGACTGACAACTTCCTACACAAGCGGAGTCCTGATAATGCTATGGCCCAAAGCTCAGTGCGCACATTCGTCTGACACTGCTGCAGTACGGCCGTACTGCCCAGTGCCTACCCCTGGAAACGGTTGGCTAGGATGGCTTGCAGGCGCTCCACCGGGGGTTTACCTTCAGTGTAGATGTACCTGTGTGTGTATGTGCGCGGCAGACGGGGAGTGAGGAAATGGATCGAGATGGCCATTCGGCGCCGGATGGCGAGTTCTGTATACTACTGCTGTGTGCGCGGCTTGTGGCTGGGGCGCTATTTGCAAGAACCCCAAGCCATTACCCATGGATATAATTGAGTTTTCTGGGAAGGGCATGGAGCTGTTGTAAAGCAGGCGGGCAGGCACACGAACAAAGGAACGAAGACTTACACAGCCTTGCCGTTAAGCCCGCCCTCGCTTTGTGGGAGTTGCACGGTCAAAAGGCTCTGAAGCACCAGTTGCGTCTTACCAGCGGTTGATTCGCCTGTGGGTGCGGCAGAAAATGAAGTGCTGGTTTGGATTCGGTAGATCATGGCATCGACCTAACTGTCCGCGCAACTGCACCAACTTCGCGTCGAACTGCAGCGTGAAGAAACTGGGAACGCTTTACCACCTGTAAGTTCTGTTATAATTCCACAGCGCAATCCACCTCTCAAGAAGCCGTCTATCACGGAGCAACCAAGAGTTGTCTTCAGCACCGTCTCCTGAGTCAGGTCGATTGGCCGCAACATGAAAATGGCACGAATGATTACTAGAAACAAAAGGGAATGAGAAACGTTCCCATGACTTATTGGTCTGTGGCCACGTCGTTGCCGGAAGGAGATATTTTCCCAACCGAAACTGGTCCAACCTGTCCAGGCAAGGTACGATGGCGGGAAAAGTGAGTCCTGTGCTTCCGTCGAGCCCTTAGCCCTTCGCAACCCGTTGCCTGTGCAAACTTCACAATCCTACTGCTAAATTCTTCGGTCTTTTCAGATCAATGTTAGATCTCGTGCGCAGTTTACCGTACAAAATTAGATTCCGCGGTGGGTTATGCGGGCTGCACCCTCGCATGCGAGTCAATCTGCCCGTGACGCCCTACGTACGCCCTACATAAGGAAGGTTGTGCAGTTTTTTTAAAGAGGTATTATTGGATTGCGCGCCCTACTCACATGTCCCGGCGGGCCCCAGCTGGTTGGACCACAAAGGGGCGCGGGCAATCTGGGTAAAACTACCCAGAGGCTAAAACTAGGCTCCCGAAGCGAAGGCGACTGTCCCGTGCTCCCGTGCTCCCGTGCTCCCGGCGGCGTGGCGGTTCCTGCTGGCGATGAGGATGATGATGATCATGATAATGGTCTTCTTGCTGCTGCCGTCGAGGACGTCTACATTGCTCAATAAATCACAAAATTTTGTCCATTTCTGCCCCTCCTAACCAAAAGTTTTCCAGTCAACTACAGGACCGCAGCAGAGCTCCTCCTCGGCTCAGGGCCCCCTATTTTTCGGCATCGTAACCGCTACCGCTACAACAGACTCAACCGCCACAACTACCAACTCGTCACCCTGCAACCTCTCTACAACGGTGCCGGCAACCAGGAGCTTGGACGTACAGCTGTACAGGGCCCCCGATTTCATCACCGTCGATTGATCTTCATCATGCACAGAAACATACCTGTGCATAACCTACCTCTGCTGACCATAACCCCATCCCTGGGGAGGACAACTCACCCCTTAAAAATTCAAACAATGATATGCACGCGGACGCACGCACGCGGAGATACAATGCAATCCTTTTTTCCAAGGCACAGAGACACATACACACACGCACACACGCGCGCGCGCAAAATATGTAATATTTTTGCGAGAGATACACATACACACACAAACACTCTCACTCACTCTCACTCACATACGCGCACTATCACACACAAACAGTCCGTCACATACCAACGTATCTGCAATGACCCCAGGGAATGGGGAGAGGGGCGCCTTAGCTGCCGTGTCGCAGCAGCCCCCAACCACCACCCTGCACAACACCCACTTCGGTGTGAAGGCAATATCCGCATCTTCCTCCACCATCCCCGAACAGCCGCAGCAAAACAGCAACTCCACAACCTACCAACCACCACCACAACAGCAACTACCACCATAACATCAATTTGCGCATGATGATGCACATCGTTGCCCCCGGCTCCGCTCCTTTAACATCATCACATTACAACACATTACAACACATCGCCATGCGCGCATGCGCGCCATCGTGCGGCCTAAAAATGAGCTAAGCACACGCCGATATTCCCTAAATGCATCTCTTTTACCTGGGCAACACCCTATCCTCTCTGTAAAGTGCAATTATCTTGCGGATACTAGAACTCCCGCTGCCGACCGCTAAACTGTAATACTCACTACTCCTACTCCTACTCCTACTACAAGTTCTACTGATGCTAGAACTACAATACTATCACTACTACTTTACGTTTTAAGACTGCGGCTACAGTACTGTCACTACCTACCTCCGGGGGAGGCCCAGATCCTGCACACCCTACCTTTTCCCCAAGGTACCATGTACGGCACTAAACATGGTACAACAAGCATAAAGCCGTACACAAAATCACGCGCTAGTTGCGCGGAGCTTGCAAACAAAAGCCCACCATGATATGAGATCACACTGCCATGACCGGTACCACCACTAGCACTAGCACCACCACTACTATCACTATGACCCGGGGGCCAACCGGAATCCCCTCTTCCGCAAGAACCTTTACCGTCTATGCAGACAGACAGACAGACAGACAGACAGACAGACAGACAGACAGACAGACAGACAGACAGACAGACAGACAGACAGACAGGCAGGCATGCTCACGCTGATCGACTGACAGACAAATGGGCAGACAGGCAAACTCACGCGAGCAGGCCAACCAATGAACACTCCTGCGAACCGACAGGCGTGCAGATGTACAGACAGACACACAATCTCTCTCTCACACACACGCACAGAGAAACGAAACAACCATATCTGCATATCATGTGCACAAAGGACGGAGCATGCGAGATCTGCACTACTACTCGCCCAACACGAACACCGAACAATCGGCACCAGACCCCACAGCATGACCGATGGAGAGGCAGACCCGACCCAACCCAACAGACAACATCATCAATAACATCAACAACAACATCAACAACATCAACAGCAACAACAACCATCACAGCACCATAGTAATGCTCAGCCCTGACGTGGGCTCACACACACCCCTTTGACTGCGCCTCCACATCCACCACATCCTGTCCCTCTGCTTACACACCAGCTCTAGACATGCAAATGGATGTCGTCAGAGGAGGAGCTAGCTACTTTACCAGCAGGCGCTCCAAGTCGCGTTTTATTCGGTCCACGCACATCGGCGCCGTACTGTCATCTGTATCCAAATGATCTATGATGCTGTCGACAGCTAGCAGGCCATTGGTGGAGCCGCCGCTGCCATTGCCATTGCCGTACAAATCCACGGCCGGAGAGCTGGCGGAAGAAGGTCCCACCGACACGCCGGCGCATGCTCGTGATACGGACGAGGGCGCCGGAAGCGGCGGCGGCGGCGGCTCTGCTGCTGTACCCAGCGCCGCCGCTGCCGCGGCGCCGTGGCAGCCAGCCGCATGGCGTGCCACGAAAGACCTGCCTCCCGTACTGGAAACGAAGCTCGGGCCGCCGCTACCATCATCTGTGGCGGATGCCGTACCAAGGAGTCTCGTGCTCGGCCGGCGGCCCCAGGAGGGATCCGGCTGTTGCTGAAGTGCTGGCGGCGGCGACTGCGGAGGTGACGGCGACGGCTGTGTCACGTGACTGCCGCCGCTGTACGGAGGAAGGAAAACCCCAAAGGACGAGCGTACGTCACTCCTGGAGGTTCCGTACGGGCTATTGCTCGTTGCGGGTTGGGATTTCGATGTCATATACGGCGTGTACGAGCTTCCAAGGCCTCCATTTCGCCCCTCGCCGGCGGCGCGGCCGTCGCCAGGGGTTTGATGTAGAGGCCGGAACAACGCCTGCAAGTAAGCCTCTTCGCTGCCACTGCTGCTGCCGCTGCCGTCACTGCTACTGTCGGCTCCTGGTTCGCCCGTCAAGCGGTGGCGGCGTTGCAGATGGCGTGCCGTACTGCAGGTCGACCGTCGGTTGCGATCCGGCCGGCATTGCCGTCTGCTGTCGCAGTTGGCGCACGATGACGACTCCCCAGGTGCTGTGCTCCATGTCCCGCCGCCTCCCCCGCCGCCGCCTCCCCCGCCGCCGCCGCCACCGCTGGCGCCGCCGCCGCTGCTGCTGCGGCTGCTGTCGTCGAAAATCGCCGCCGCTAGCGCCGCTGCCGAGCGGTCCGGTCTCGGCTGGAATCCAGCGAGCGTTTCCTCCTCCAGTGTTTCCAACCTGCTAACCAAAGCTGCGTGCTTCAGGCTACGTTGCAGAGACGCGAGGCGGCGTTGCGACCTGCCACTTAGCTCCCGCTGCAGTGCCAAAGTCGCCTCCGCTGCGGCGGCAGCTGCCGCAGCAGCGGCGGCGGCAGGTAACGCTGGCGGCGGCCGCGGGTACATCGTCGGCGGCGGAGAGGACACGGCGGGCGCCGAGGAGGCTCCGTGCTCTGCGGTTACGGTCGTACAGGCCATGACGTCATTGCCATGACGGACCTGTGTTCCGGAGATGGCGGCGACGGATGCCGTACTGCGGTTGAGGTCCTTGTCGATGGCGGCGACAAGGCTAGCCGCCGCTTGGAGCACCGCGGCGGATGACGACCCCGCCGGCGGCGGCGTCAGGCCTCCGAGTCGCATCTCAAATTCTCGCTCATCGCTCGATGTGCTATCGTCTTCGGCGCCACCGCCGCGGTACGTTGGCGCCTTTGCCGACTTGATCTGACCCCCCGAGGTAGCGGTAGCGGTAGCGGTAGCGCCGGCGACGACGGGCTCCCGCAGCAATGCCGACGACTCCGAACGACTGCGCGTGCTGCGGCCGGCAGCCGGAGAAAGACGCGCCTGCAACGGCGATGACATCAGCACGGCGCCCGAACGACGCCCCTCCGCCGCCGCCATGGAGGTGCCATTTCCGTGGGACCCGTCTGCCGTCGCCGTCGCCGTCGCGGTCGCTGCAAGCAGCGGCTGTGGGCCGCCGACGTGCCCTAGGTGGCTTTGTGTGGAGGCTCTCCGGGGTCCAGTGTCGGCTGGCGGCTTGGGCTGCAGGTTGGGCCACTTCTGCGGTGTGCCGTACCAAGGGGTTGTACTGCTGACAGTGAGGATTATGTATGCAAGGTGGAGTAATGCTAGTGCAGGCGGTGCAGTGCGGATCATGAGCACCATGCGAAATGAAAAGAGACGCAGGCAGAGCGCGGGTACGACGGTCCCCCCCCAAAAAAAGAAAAAAGCGCCTCACCTCGTTATGCAACGCGCAAACCCTAAGTGCAAAACCCTTCGTGCTTGCTGGAATACATCAACTCAAAAAGCATGTTTATGTACGGAACCCGCGCGCTCTGCTGTGAGGGTACGTACGTGTGTGTAACGCTTCGTGAAGATCCCCTCACCCCCGCCCCGCCAAAGGATTGAACTCAAAAAGAGTATCCAACTCCGCTGTCAGACGCCCAGGACCCCCGGTGACAGCAATACCCCCAAACCTACCTGAGACTGACATGGCGCCAGCATCCCGTGCTGGGCATGTTGCTGCTGTTGCTGCTGCTGCTGTAGTTGCTGCTGCAACTGCCGCTGATGCGTGCCTGCGGCGTCTAGGCAGACGTACGCCTCCTGCCCTACGCTGCACATTCGCCTCAAAGAGCGTCGCCCCGCCACCGCCGCCTCCGCCGCTGCTGCCGCCGGCACGGAGCGGTCACCGACAGAGTCGTCACGCTCCTCTGCCCCCTCGCCGTCGCTATCGCTGCCGCCGTCACCACCGGCGTTTCTTCCTTCCGCTGCCGCATGGGGGATCTGGGTTCGCTCCGCCACGACTCTGTAGGCGACTCCGCCACCGACATCACTGCCGCTGCCCTCGCCGCCGCCGCCGCTGCTGCTGCTGCTGCTCCAGGCCTTCCGGCTGCAGCGGTTGCCTTGCTTCCGGAGACCAACCCGCGGCGAACCAGCAGCGGGAACCGCTTCCACCATCGCCACTACCAGCGGCAGCGGCGGCGGCGGGGATGTGAGTAATGCTGACGCCGAGGGTGTCGGGGGCCCATCGGCGGCCGCGGCGGCGGTGTCCGCGAGGGCGCGCGGCGCAAGCGTCAACGACGACATGGATGCTCCCGGGCGGCGCGTGCTGACGCCCTCCCGGGCCGCCAGGCGACGGTCCACCAACTGCCGTACACTCAGCTCCCGCTCCGCCGAGTCACTCAGGCTGTCGCTGTCGTCCCCGCTGCTCGATCGCCTGGACTGGCGCACTGCTTTCCCGCCGCCGTCCCCGCCGCCACTGCGGCCGTCAGTGGAAGAGCCAGCGGCGGCGCATCCGTTGTCGGCAGCCCAGGCATACACAACCGCATGGGTCCCGCCGCCGGCATTGCCGAGAGCGGGGCCGTCGCCGCCGTCGGGACCGCCGGCGCCTACCAGCGCACACAACCGGTCAGTAACGCCACTTGGCGCCCCCTTGCGCTCCGAGACCACACCGTTCGGATTCCCAACCAGCGGCCGCAACGTCAGCTCTAACAACCGCTCCCTCGGCTCCGCTGCTGCCGCCGATCCTGGTTTCAGAGCAGCTTCCGCCGCCGCCAGCGCCGCCGCCGCTTCTACTGGATCCGCTGCAATGGCAGCTTCCCGCTCCACCCAGCTCGCCGCCAAGGCAGTAGGCCCGCCCCTCGCCGCCGTCCCATCCACCAAACCCCCGTCGGCTTTAACACCAACAACAACATCAGCTGCATCAGCTGCAACACCGCCGTTGAGCCCTGCCCGGACATGTCGCGGCTCCTCCAGCTCAGCTCCAAGAGCAAGACCTTCGACCGAACCTCCGCCTGTTGATGAGTAGATGCTGTCGCCGCCGCCGCCATCGCTAGCTAGAACAACGGACCTACCACCATCCCTGAACCTGATCGCTGCGGCGGCCGCGACTGAGCTGCCGTCGTACACTGTCGTACCCGCTGAAGGCTCCACTCCGGCCGCCTCTGGCGACGCCGGCAACATCTTCAGGAGCTCTTGGAGCCCCTGCTCGTCCAGCCGCGGCGGCAGCGGCGGCGACGGTGGCAAGGAAAGACCCTTCCACTTGTACGACCGCTCGCCACCTCCGCTGTCGCGATCGAGTTCGTTGTCGTGCAAAGCGCTGAAGCCGGGGCTGGTTGCGCTATGACTGGCGCTGCCTCCATTGCACATGCTATCGATCCTGTGCAGTAGCCGCTGGATGCGCCGCTCGCTGACGGTACGGAGGAGGGTGGTGCAGCTCCCGGTAGCAGCGCCCGCAGCCGCAGCCGGAACTATTGTGCTGGAGCCAGACCGAGCGCCCAGAAACATGCTGCCGCTGCCGCCGCCATTTTCCGCTTTACGGATCTGAAACGACGTCAGCGGCGAGGTTAGCGGTGAGGAAGCCGGTCGGGGGGCGTTGGTGCGGCAGCTGGCCGCGCTAGCAGAGGCCGCCGGCGTGGAGATGGACGAGGCAATGGGCACTGGGCGCGCCTTGTCGCTACCGGCTGTCTCGCTGCCCATGGCTGCGGCAGCTGCCGCTGCGACGGAGGTGGAAAAGGGTGTGCCAGGGTGGCCCGCGGCAGTAGCGGCAGCTACGGCGTCGCCGGCGACGGCGGATGTAGCCGTCAGCGGGGTGGAGTTGCTGCCGCCTTCTCGGTTTGTGAAACTCGCGATGTTGCTGCCTCTCGGCCTTCCCTGGAGAGAGTTGCTGCTTTGGAGTTGGCGGCCAAGTCCGAGCTGCGCGACCTGAGGGTCATCTGCGCCGACGGGGCTCGGGTGAACTGTGGGCGGCATTACCACGTCGGTTGGTGGCTTGGCTGTAGCAGCTGTGGGGAGAGTGGAGGCGGTAGTTGCCCCTAACTGGCCCGGCGTGGCGTCCGAGGATGTGTCGGATTGGGCGTAAAGCGCGGATGGCTTAAAGCTGCTTGCGTGGGTGCCGAGGCTGGTTGTCACTGCGGCCGCAGTAGCCGCAGGGTCGGCGGCGGGAGGTGGAACATATGCGGACGCGATGAGGGCGAGCCCGCCGCCGCCGCTGCTGCCGGTCCGGTCGGCGCCGGTAAAGTTCAGGGGGCGGCGGGACATGCGATGCGTCCGCGGTTCAAAAATGTAGATGTAGCTGGTGGGGCTGTGAGCTACATCGCCTGGGGGACAGGATATGGACGTGCGGTTGAAAGCGGGGAGAAGTGGTTACGTTCATGAACGTGTAATGTCAAACAAGCCGAGGATTGCAAGATGTGACCTTTCTCCTTTGTTTTGGCATCTTAGGACATAGGAAACATAGGGCACAGTCAAACGTGCGCAAAAAAAACATTCATGGCAGCGATAGGAGCCCAAGACAATTACAACAAGGCGAACGACTTCGTCAAAGTTGACAAAGGAGCATGGTATGAAAAATGGGCGTTGTGCAACGAAAAAGGAAGATAACTCAAAAAACCGAGACCTCAGGCGACAGCAGCACGCCCATGACAGACACGCACGTCGATGTCACGACCTAAACCTGCCGAAGACCTCGCCAGGTACACAAGTTCAAGCAAGTGCTAAGAGACAGCATGAACGCAATGTCTGTGAAGCTCCGCTGCTTGTGGCATACCAGAAGGGACACCAGGTCCAGAAGCGATTTTCCTGCGAAAAAATTAGAGCTAAAATTGTAGCGTCGCCACTGAGCTGCTACTCGTCGACCTAAAGGTCAATTTCTATCCCGGTTGCGGCTTCTAGCTCAGTCCTTAGGCGAGGCGTGCTCTGGCACGGCGACAAGTATAAAAGTTGAATTGGCTTTGCTTGGGGCGGACCCAGTTGTAATTGTTATTAGCAACAAATAATACCAGTCACCAAAGTCGTCCACAGTCGGGGTTTCCAGCTGAACAGTCGAAACGTACTTCCGACAACGTACGCCAGAACAAGTGCCTATCGGCAAAAAATATAAGCCAAGGCAGCTTCCTTGTCCTTTCGCCGCAAGCTTTGTTCGTGTGTCCCTTGTGACAAAAATGACTATGGCCATCCGCCCGCAATCCCTTGCACACACAGCTCCCGCTGGCCGGATGGATCCAGCCTTAATTATTTCGCGGCTGCAATCTACCTGCTTTAGGTTGAGGCCATCGCACACCAGCCGACCGAAGGCTTTCGGCTCCGTGAGCAGCATCGCACCTTGCGGACACGTTCGCGCTGCACCCAGCCGCCGCGCTAGTCGCCATATGACCTGCAATGCTACCCTGGCAGAGGCGGCGCCAGGGAAAACCGTGTTGGGGTTTGTCGGTATCGGCATCATGGGCCTGGCCATGGTACGCGGCACAAACGTGGACTGAAAAGCGGGCATTGGGTCGACATGCCGGGGTAACTGTCCTACCTTCTACGGATACCTAGCACTCCCCTCCCCTCCATGGCTCCGAAACCCATACAAGGCAGCGACCCCGCCGTCGCCCCCCGCCCTCACTCCTATCAACATTCATATGGTTGTTAACCACCCCCACCCCCACCACCATCACCATCACCATCATCACCGGCATCACCGCCACAACCAGCAGCATCCATCACAGGGCCCCAATCTGTGTCCCAAGCCCAACCAGACCCTCACCATCCCGAGGCCCCCCGAACCACACGTCCCCGCCACAGACTCGCAACCTGATCAAGGCGGGCTACGAAGTGGTGGTATGGAACCGCAACCCCGAGAAGTGCAAGCCGCTGGAGCAGGAGGGCGCTAGGGTAGGGCTGAAAGGGCAACGTGATGAAAGAGAGGGGGGAAGAGAGAAAGAGAGAGGGGGAGGGGTAGCAGGCGCAGCAGGGTGCGGGCCGGGAAATCGTGTTTCCTTTACACATACACACACACCGCAAATATGTGTTACGTGCGGACGCGCGTGCGCTCTGCGTTGGCGTAACGCGGCTTCCAGGCTTCTTTGCCACTCTTAATGGCACTCTTGAAGCGGTGAAGCCTTCCCCTCCATTTCATCCGAGCCCTGAACCTGAAGCGATCTGTCATCGCACCTTCCGTACTTGTTCGTACATGTGTTCTCGTACACAGGTGGCCTCCAGTCCCCGAGACGTGGTCAGCGCAGCCACGTACACATTCGCTATGCTGTCCGACCCGGAAGCGGCGTTGGATGTGGCGTTGAGGCCTGATGGCGTTGTGGCGGGTATGTACAGGTTCGATGCTTGTGATGACGAGCTGGTACTGCGGCCTGGGGATGGAGCTGAAAAGCCAGCGATATGATTGCAGGACAGCCGATCAGAAGAAGGCGTATCGGGAACTGAGGCACGTTTTGGGTTTTCTTTCCTACCCCTCCCACTCCCACTCCCACCCCCACACCGCTCCCTATTTCCCCTCATCTACAGGCATTTCTCCCGGCAAAGGCTACATCGACGTCAGTACAGTGGACGCGGCCACGTCCCGTACAATTGCGGCTGCCGTACGGTCAGCCGGGGGAGGCTTTCTAGAAGCGCCTGTGTCTGGTAGCAAGGGCCCAGCTGAGCAGGGGAAGCTTATCTTCCTGACGGCGGGTGAGGAAATGGGGGGAAAAGGAGGGAGGAGTGTGTGTGTGTGTTTGCTTGCATCATCTCAGCCGTGGGCAATGAAGTGGCGAGGATGGCAGAGGAGTTACAAGCTGTGTGTATGTATATATGTATGTGTGTACGTGTGTATATTCGTACGGTTTACGGCTCGCCTGCTGGCAGGCGTGATGGCTGTAACTGACGCCGACCTGTTATGCATGCCCGCACCCTCAGCATATTTTGTCCCCGTGCTGTACCACATCGTCCCCCAGTGTTCCTTGTCTTCTCTGTTAGGACCTCCTGGCAGGGGCCTCCTCCTTGTACGACCTCTTAGGGTTTCGGTTTCTCCTGCTATTTCCCCCCCTCCCCCCCGCCTCCCCCTTCTCCTGGAGGAACCACTTCCGAACCCCCTTTCCCCCCCCCACACACACTGACAGCGCAGAACAAGTGATCCCCTCGGTATTCTTTTTACGCATTCAGTGTTCCCCGCCATCCACCCCACCCCCCTCAGGCGATGAGGATTTGTTCGCTGCGGTGTCGGCCCCTCTTGACGTGATGGGCAAGGCCAAGTTCTTCCTGGGCCCGGAAGGGGCAGGAGCGCACATGAAGCTTGTGGTCAACATGGTGGGTCTCGAAGGGCGGGTGGGGGGGAGGGGGAGGGGGAGGGGGAGGGGGAAGGGAGGCAAGGGGACGCACGGACGGGATGCGACCCGAGCGGAGTGTTGGCAGGTGAGGCCTGCCGTTGGGCCGCTGACGCTTCGCGCCCTGCTTCTTGAGTTATCTCCCACCTGGAAATATGCCGATCCCACATCTTTCCCTCGCTTTGCCCCCCCCTTCCACCTGGTATACTCCTGCCATGGCAGCAGCTTCACTCGTTCGTGGTTCGTCTTTCCCCCCCTTCCATCACGCTGCCTTTCCTCATTCTCGTTCCTCTCCCCCTTCCTCTCCTAGCTTTGGCAGCTAGGTAGGTAGTTTTCCGCTATCGTCATGATATCAGCATCGCGAAGACTCCTCCGTCACAAGTCGCGACTTGTCAGTTATTGCTTGCTTACTTCTCTGGCTTATCAGTCTATATCCTTCTTGGCATCAGCTTCACTCATTCACGTGGTTCGTCTCCCCCCTCCTCCCCCTCCTCCCCCTCCTCCCCCTCCTCCCCCTCCTCCCCCTCCTCCCCCCCCCAAGGTGATGGGCGCCATGATGACCAGCTTCGCGGAGGGTCTTGCGCTCGCCGACAAGGTACGGCGGACTGTTTGGTAACGGAGTGGCGGTAACGATAGTATTAACTCCTGTACGGCCATGAGCACCAGCACTGTACCGCGGATGGTGGACGCAGCCGCGTGCCGTCAGAAGGCAGTCAGGGCTCGTAGGAGGAGGGCCGGGGCGATATCGCTGATTGAGTTCTCGGCTCTGTGTGAGGACTTGGTCCGGCGCTGAAGAGAGCTGGTGAAGTCTCCCCCCACTTCATCTCGTGCCTCCCTCCCTCCCAAGCCCTCCTCCAACAAAAAAGAGGGCTTACCTCACCTCCCCCCGGGCGCCTCCTTTCTCCTTCCTAGCATTCCCTCTCTCTCTCTCTCCCACAATCCAGAAATCTCTGCCTCACTTTGTGACTTCCCCCCTCCCCTTTCCGCCTTCACTTAACAACTCTTACCTCTCAACCCCCCCCTCACCGCCCGCTATCTCTTTGCTGTCTGCTTCAATCGTCCGTGATACGTCCTAGCCTCCCCTCTCCCCCATTTTTGCACGACCCAGGTCGGCCTCAAGCACCAGGACGTGATTGACGTGGTAGCGCTGGGCGCCATCGCCGCACCGATGTTCGCCCTCAAGGGTCCCGCCATGGCGGCTCGTTCCTACAACCCCGCATTCCCGCTCAAGCACCAGCAGAAGGATATGCGGCTGGCGCTGGCGCTGGGGTGAGCAGGCTATGCCGTCTGAGTCGGTTGGCGGTTGCGGGACTCCCGGTGGTTTAGGGACTTGGGGGATTAAGTCCAGGATCGTAGACTCCCAGAGCCCGCATCCGGCCCGCATGGTAAATGTTGGTGTCTGCGGGTGTCCACTTCCCCCTATGTAGTACCTTTAAAAAGGATGCATACCTGGATTTGGAACCCCACAACGCGCACATACACACATACATACATACATACATACACCCACACATACGAACACAGGCGCTTCCGTCCGTCCGTCCGTCCGTCCTGCCTACCTCCGCGCCCTCGGCCTCCTCTCCTGCAGGGACGAGGTGGCTCAGCCACTGCCCATGGCCGCCGCAGCTAACTCGCTGTACATCGCCGCGCGCCGCCAGGGGCTAGGGGACATGGACTTCTCTGCCGTGATGGAGGCTGTCGCAGCCCAGGAGGCCGATACCAAGAAGCAGTAACAGACTAGGAGGCGCTATGCAAAACGGCAGGCGAGCAGGCGCTGCAAGTTTAGTAAAGCAATAGCATGAGTGGTTAGCAGCAGCAGCAGCAGCAGCGGCGGCGGTAGCAGACTGGTGTCAGGTTGTCGGGTGTGTGTGTGTGTGTGTGTGTGTGTGTGTGTGTGTGTGTGTGTGTGTGTGTGTGTGTGTGTGTGTGTGTGTGTGGTGTTCGTTCATGTGCGGCAGCAGGAAAGGGTACAGCATGTATTGTTGTGTTCTTCGTTCTTTTTTTCCTTCTTTCTTTCCTTCTTTCGGAACTGGGCGTGTCTTGGAACTCCCCCTGACCAGAAGTCCAGAATGCAGGATGCGAATAAGCGCTTCACATCGGAAGTGGCGGTCAATGGGGTGAAGGTATCAGGGGCGCGCGTGACCCGCTTCTTTTCCTGATTTTCTCATGACCCCTCGCGGCTGCATCACCTTATGGCAGCACACCGGGGGTTTCACACACACCGTCAGAATCCTTTGGGAAAAACGCGGCTTACCCACAATGTACTGTTTTAAAGGGATTTGGGTTTCCGGACCAATTGCTTTTCCAGATGTAGAGCTTGGGGGTTTGGGGGACGTTTTTTTAAGAGTCGGGCTTGATGTGGTGGTGGTGCGTGGTGTTAGTCTCCCCCCTCCGGTTACAAGAGGAAGCGTTGGCGACGAGGATGAGTGTTTTGATGAGACTTTGCCTCTCCCTCTGCGCCCCTTGCATCCGCTTGCGCTGATGTGGGCAGCAATTAGGAGACTGAAGGTCAAGTGGTATCTCATATGACTACCACCATTACGGCTTCATTGGTTGAAAGAGCAAGCTCTCGTAAGATGGGGACCCCCACACTGCAGCGGCGCACACCCCTTCGCACGCAAAGTAAAGCGCTGTGAGTCGCTGTGCAGCAGTACTAATAAGAGGACAGTCCAGCCAGCGGCGAGATCTGAGTTGCTACATCTTTGTAGTGAAACAGGCCGCCAGGGCAGCACGCGGCCAAGCAGGGAAAAGGCGGCCAGGGGTCAGCAGGGAAGAGACTGCTGGGGAAGCACAAGGCGGTGGGGTAGCTGGGTCACTGTGTAATCAGCAGGCCAAGAAATAAATATCCTCAGCAGACTGGTGGCCAACGTTGGAGTCGTTCCTATTGGGCAGCTGTAATAGCTGGCTTGATGGCACATAGAGAGCCAGGTAGAGCCTATGCAGCCCATGCAGTGGAGGCTGTACCATGGAGGTTTCACACATCTTGGGGTTCGGAGCTCATGGGCTGCCTGTGTCTTATGACAAGCTGCTTGTCGATGGCTGGGAGGCAGTTGCTCCTCTGCATTTGTCGCCGAGTTTATGGATATTATTCGGATGCTTGTCACCAGTCGGTAACCCCACCAAACCGGTCGGTAACTGGTCGCTTCGGTACCTGGCCGGTAGGTAGGGTAACCGACATAACGAGCTAACAATCCAGTAACTGGGGTTCACTGATCGATGTAAGGTCACCGGCCGGTGACCGCGGTCCGCAAGGTAACCGACCAGTAAAGTTACCGGTCGGTTACCGCAGCGTTATTTTGAAATGTCGGTTGCCCTATCGAAGCGATCGGTTGGGTTATAAGTAACCGGTCGGTTACCGACAATTTTTTGCAATAGGCTGTACAGTGTGCGTACACGCTGCGGCGCCCGCTGCTTCTTCTCATACTGCTGCGCGGCTTCCCTCGCTCGTTCCTTGGGCTTTCTTGGAATAGCTATAGAAATATACAGTAACATATGTATAAAGCTACTAGCAGGCCCTTGCTTGAACCTCGCCTGCTGCTGCTAATAATAATAATAGGCGGCTGTCTGCTAGGCTGCTGCGCGCGCACCACAACGACTATTCTGCTGCTCATGCTCCCATCATATCTCTCCAAGCAGTAGTACGATGTTGTATGTGGTTTGTGGATGATAAAGCAAGACGATTTTATATGTGATAAAGCTGTTCCCGAAGGCAGGGAATAAGAGATCATTCATACCGACATGGCACTCTGCAATGTGTTGGTCGCGCCATTCTTCCAGCACATTACCAAGAGGACCTGATCGATCAAACACTTCACGCCAAATTTGCAGAGGATGAGGACACCATGGCGATGGGTGGCACCAGTGATGGCGTGTACGGGATGGCTGGCAATGGATCCACCGCCATTACTGCCCACCAAATGCGGGCTGAGGTAGAAAGTAAAGAGGACATATTACCCTGCATCATGTACACGTATACAGATGCATGCGGCAATGTAGGCCGGCGGCTGATGAACCAAACGACGGCCAAACCCGGAATGCTCAAACTTGCTGTGTATTGGTGCAGAAAATACAAAGGATTGGCAAAACACAGCTAAAAATCGTGCGGCATAGGATAATCCTGCTCGCAAGGTATCCACCGTAAATATCCCCATACAGTTTCACGTACCTTAACTACCTTTCCTGGTGTGCTGTGACCCCTCTTTCGGCGGCCCAGACCGACCTCCTCGACTCGCTGACTCACTGCCGACTGACTCACCCGCGCACACAAGTACACACTGACCCTAGTTCACTAAGTCCCTCACCGTCCAAGAACACAACACCAGCGGTACGAGCTGCGTGCTTGCCTCTCCCCACTTTCCCCCTGGTCAACTCAACCACTGTCAGCTGCCATACAACCCCTACTGCTAGAGAAACCCCCATAAACCAACATCCGACCATACCTCGCGACTTAGCTCCAACTCCACTGCATGCAAGGGAGTTTGTATGCTTCCTCCTTGCCTTGCCCACTGGATGCCATACGTAAGTTCCTCGCGGCAACACCCCTCATAAGACCTACGTATCAATTAGACCCTATACCGTTTGCGCAACTAGGTTCCGGAGCTGTGGGAAGTCGGCACTTTGACTGACCATTCCGCACAATCCGCGTCTGAGGACCCCAACTACAGAAAGAAGTTGCCGTTGCCGACACAGCAGAAGCAGCTTCCTCACAGCTTCCTCCTCCTGCCTACCTGGTGATGCGGCTTGCTCGCAGCCGCAAGAACATGCCCACTGGTCAGACCTTAAGCCACAGCAAGGGAAGAGCGCCCTCCTGTGCGATTTTCCCCTTACAAGGCATTAAAATCACCGTGCCAGGGCAGCCACAGGTCACAGCCCAGGCGGCACAGTGCCACCCCCTGATGTTCCCACCGATCCACCAGGCATCATCCCAAGCACTGAAGCACCCCCCCGATCCCCTCAAGGACAGCATTCCGCAGCCCTCCAAACCCATCTGCAGCAGCAAGAGTTACAGTATCACCAACACCACGACCACCAGCATCACCACCGACATTATAATCAGGCAGATCTAGGCTTAGGCTTGGGCCTAGGCAGCGCAGGTGGCGGTGCCGCGCCGCCATCCTCGTCGTCCACGGCGACGGCGCCACGGGCCATGCCCGTCGTGCTGCGCTGTGTCGGCAACGGAGGCACCTGGCCGTCGCCGCCTCCACCACCGCTGCGCGTCCCTTTGGCCGTCAGCTCGTCAGCGGGTTGGTTGAACATAGACTGCAGTGCGAATTGCGCCCGCATCCGGGTGCTCGAGTCCAACTCCTCATCTTCGTCTATCCCCTCCAAAAGGTCCCCCAGCGCCAAGTCGCCGTCGTCATCATCATCATCATCCTCCACCACCTCGTCGTCCTCGTCTTCTCCGCCGTCGCCTGAACAGGCCAAGGGAAGGCCGCACCATCCCATCCGCACACGTGCATTTGGGTGATAGTGCAAAACATGGGCAAGGGACAGATGTGGGTAACAGCAACATGGTGATGCCGATGATGCAAGGACGGGAAACAGGAACCAGCTGCCGATGTTGCCGATGATACAAAACTGCTGGGACTGCTGGAGAAAGGCGTGAAAAGGGATCGGAGGCTGGGCGCGGAGCGACTGGAGCCGCCTGACACGGGAAATACCCTCCCCAGCCCCAGCCCCAGGGGTGGGGGTAATACGCAAAGGTCGGAAAGGCAACTGTAGACGTACAGAGCGCGAATGTTTATGTACGTAGGCGACAATTACATGCAGGAAACAAAAGAATGTGTGTATGTGGGAAAGGGGAAAGAGAGAGCACACATGCTGTATAGTATTTTCACCGTCTTACCGGCCTTTCGCATAAGGCCCAGACCGCGCATGTCTCGCAGCAGCTCTTCTAAATCCTCCTCCTCATCGCCAGCACCCGCCGCCTGCGCTTCCGCCAAGTCCTCTTCCGTCAGCTTCTCCGCGGCAGATTCCAGATCCAAATCGAGATCCAGATCTAGATCCAACTTATCGAACTCAGGCACGTCCTTGAGCAGCTCGTACAGCGCAGGATCGCTTGTCTTTAGCGTCTCCAGTACCTGCGCCGTAAAAGGACAATCGACATAAGTAAAGCACTGACATGCAGTACAATAAGATGTATGACTTTGTGCCTCAATTTGTGATGTAAGATGGGACAGAACCGCAGCGGTTCGTCACTCCTTGTACGGCAGACGACCCACCTGCTCGTCCGTCATGTCCCGGGCGGCAGTGGCAGCGCCTCCGTCGTTCCCCTCCTCCGGGCCGCCGCCGTCCTGATCCAATTGTTGCATCAGCTGCCGAAGCTCCGAAACCTCCCGCATAGCTGCCCCGACCGCGGCGTCCCCGCCACCGCCGTCATTATCATCACTATCGTCTCCCAAACCCAAATCTAAATCTGCCCCGAGATCCGCGAGATCCCCTTCCAGATCCAAATTCGCCAGCGCCGCCATCAGATCCGCCGCTTCCGCCTCCGTCAGCTCGTCCGCCATGCCCTCATCACCAGCGACGGCGGCCGCAGTCCCCCCGCCACGCTTCGACGCGCGTCGCAGCCACTCCGCGAACTCCTCTTGCGCACTCAGGTCCCGCTGCAGCATCTCCGTGACGTCGCCGGCCGTCACCTCCCGTACGTCCTCACCGCTGGGGTTAAGGATTGAAGCCAACAGGGAGCGGGCCCGCTGCGCGTCTGCCGGCAACTCGGACTCCGGGGGCAGCTGGTCCGCCAGGGCGGTCAACTGGGCGCGGAGGTCCGCTGCGGGAGAGGAGGAGGAAGAAGAGGGTATTGCTGGGGTGGAGCGGCAGGCGGGAATGGATCAGGGTTGAGCTGCAGCACGAGCCGGTCCATAACACCGTGGGTTGGCCGGCAACGGTCCAGTGGTCGCTGCCCACGGCGGATTATGTGTGTCTGTGTGTGTGTGCTTATGTGTGTGTGTGTGTGTGCGTCTGTGTGTGTGTGCCAAGCAGGGAATACCGCTTCCTGCTGATGTCAAGGATTTAGTTATACCTAGCGTGTGGCTGGCGGCGGCTGTGGCTGTGACTGCGTGCCGAAGTAATTGTGCACAGCTTACGCAATGCGCGCATAGATTCAAAAACAACTAAGCGGCTTCCATTCCGTCGTGACGCACAAAAATGGGACCCAAATCCTCGTAACCTTATGACCCACCTCCCATAGCCACGGACGCAGTGCTCGAGGCCGCTGCCGCCGCTGCCGCTGCGGTGGCAGCTGCGGCCGCGTTCGAGGCCCCAATTGCGCCTCCTGCAACGTCAACATCGCTGTACGACGAGCCACCCGCCACAACCTTCTCATCCCCAGTCCCCGCGTCTCTCCCCTGGAGACCTGCCTCCGCTGACCTAGGAACAGGAGCCGGTGAGGAGGCCCCACCGCCATCGCCGGCGGCAGCTCCTTTCATCCTCTGTAGCAACCGCTGCCGCCGGTCGGAGCCTGCCGCCGCAGCCGCCGGCCCCCCAACCGCCGCCTGCGGCGCTGATGTGTCGGTTACGGGTGCAGGACTGCTGCCGCTGGCATGGCTGCTGCTGCTGCTTGCATTATTCAAGCTACTACTCCGGGCTTCCCCAACGTTCGAAATCTGATTGTTTACCCCGTCAGATGTGCTGATGGTGCTGGGACTCGGTAGGGTGCCTGCAGGGGTGGGTGCCGTTTCTGACTTCGAGGTGCTGGTGCTGATGGTGGGCCTAATTAGGAGCTCCTCGGGGGTCAATGCCCGTGTCCGCATGGCGGGGGTTTCCACAGGGCTGAAGCTGGGTAGCACGGGACCGTCGGAGGGGACAGCGGCGGCCGACCTCTCCGCAGCTGTTGTTGCCTTTCGCCTGTCCTTATCCCCGGCATCTGCAGGCGTGGTAACATGGGGTCGCGTGTGTTGCATCCATGATAGCGTGGGTTGCATCAAGGCTGTTGGAGCTGTAAGTTGCGTCTGTGTATGCGATCAGCATATGTGCTGAATGTGCCGAACCGATAGCTTACGGTAATACTGGATTGTAGGACAGATGCTAAGCCAGCAGCCGGCGAGCTCGATGCACATGTGTTCACACACTTCATTCGCCCACGTCCTTGGATAGCTGCGGATTACCGACCCCGTGTCTCAGTAAACTGTTCCGTTCTCTGAGGACCCGCTCACCGTTGGATCGCCAGCCCCGTTTGCCACTCTTCCGCTGGCGCCGCGAATCGTCTGAAATCCAGTTGCGCGTCTTGTCCTGATAAGCTTTTTTTCTGTCGCGGCTGCGTTGAGCCCAGCTAAATTGCTCTTCATCCTCTCCTGCGAGGCCCAGAGCAGTAACGGAGAACCGGTGTTGCTACCGAAACACAATATCTGATAGCGTCCGCTTAAGCAAACCTCATACAACACATGCATATACGTCTTGACTTAAGGAGATTTTGATATCGCCCTATCTTGCGCAAGGAAACAGACCCAAGCTCCTCCCGCCGACAAGCTAATACAAAGGCGGTTGAACATTCCCGCGCTATTTACAGACCTTCGAGTCCTGCAATCTCTTCAGCCGCATCAGGGTCCACAGGCTCGTACTCAAAGTACACGCCCTCATTCTTCTGGTTACTAGCCTTGGCATGCGGCACTAAACTAAGTGCCCTCATCCCACGTGTACACACAAATGCAACATTTCTACTCCAGTGCAGCTGCGGCCTCCGCAGCTGCGATGTGCATGGCAAGCACATCGTCGGTGATGCCACGACGAAATAGTTGATTTTCAGGAAGTAATATATTCATGTGCTAATAAGGAAATAGCATAATGAGGCAAAGGAGCCACCAAAGGCAGGGAGTGTTTTGTTCTTGTACGGCCTTTATTTTCCCTGGTACGGCGTGGCGGGAGAACGAGAGCCTGAGCCACGAGCTCTATAATGTAAAACGATGTTTCCAATTCTCCTGCAAGCTATCGGTCTTCTGCAGGATTTACACCCTGTAGAGAAGTGCGGGAAAGACAGTCAGTACCGCTTAACACGTATTTCAGCGCGAGCATTGACGGGCCTGTCCATCCACTTCAACCACGACCGCGCTGTACGCGCGATGCTCGCAAAAGATCGGCCCTGGTACGTTGGCTTGGGGCGGTGTTGCTCACTTGCCTTGGCGCTCAGCGGTACGCACTAGGAACGCTAAAGTTACCAACTTAAAACGCCGCAGGGACTTGCATTTCTTTCGTTTTGTTTTCAGAGTGGATAATGGGGTTGCGCAGTTGTTGCGTAGGTGCGGGAATACCCGTTTGTCAATTGACTGTATCAGACGTCCATTGAGGGGGCCCGCGCGCTTGGATTTGATGAGTTTTATGTATAATATCATCCGGGTTTTTCGTAGGAACATCTCTACGTAAGAAGAAGGCTGTGCACGAGGAGAGCAATTCAAACAGCACGCCAACTTAACGCGGTTATCTTTTTGGGATTGCAACAACACGCAATTCCAATAGTAAGCCGCAAGCCTTCCCTTTAAAGCCATCCCTTTGACAGTCCGGAAGCAGCTCCAGTTTTCCCGGGCGCTACCAGCGAGGCCGGCGAAAACGCGGCTCAACAGTTAACGCGGTTTGGAACACCTAAGTCACATCCGGATATTTATCAGCCCAACAGCTGAGGCCCAGCTAGCTCACAAGCCGGCCGGCACGTCCGGCCGGTGGCTTAAGTGCTTTGTCAGCTGGGCCCCTTAGCGTGGCTATGCGCCACACACGGTCAGGATCATCCTTGCAGGGCATGGTCGGACATTCACATGGATCACAGCGAAATTCGCAGCGGCAAGGTCACGCAGCGCATCGAGGGCCCTTTCAACTTGACAGCCCGCCCCGGCCAAGGCAGCATCGCGGCGGTCCATCTATGTCTGCAGAGCGCTTCCTCCTCATTGTTGAGGAGCTCCAGTCCAAGTGAGCAGTGGTCAGATGGTAGCCGCAGCAAGGTTTTCTCTTGTGCACTTACGACGCGTAAGAACCAACTGTGATTTACTGTAACACGGTCGCGCACAATCCTGACACCAGGTTGTGAGGGCTTAACATGCCTCTCCTCTCCTCCCCAACAGAGCGAATGAGCTTTGGGAAAGGGAACAGATGGAGCTACAGCGCGGCGCTGAGCTGATGGTCATTTGCTGCAGCCCGTCGCCACCAAGCCCGCAGCAGCCACAGCTGCAGGTATGCATCAACGTGAATCTACTCCATCTTTTTGCCTGCGTACCTTTTGAAACGTTTTGCTGCAAAGGTGCCATGGTTCTTATCGGACATGGTTCTTTTTTGGGCGCCCTAACCTTTTTAGCTCCGATGTAAATGCAGTATTGGTCCTTGCTCGCATCATCAATAGCACCACCTCATGCCGCATGCCTGCATATGCTATGTTCCCTTCTCACACATGCCTGCAACGCCGAGTCCTGTGTTCAAACTAACACCAGAACATCAACGCCGAGTCCTGTGTTCAAACACATGTGATGTGTTCAAACTGGTGCTATAAGGTGATAAATGATCGTAGAACTGACAATGTGCTAAAGCGGCCCAGAAGCCTCCCACTCTGTAACATTACATTACATACATGCCACGCCCCGTACCCATCCTTGACCGGGCTCTGGATCTGGACCTGGATGTGCTCTCCGTTCGGGCTTTCCCTGTCCGCTTGCCACCCGAACAGACAGACGTAATTTCGTCACCCGTCTACCCGTTTGACCAGCCGGCCCTCCTCCAAGCCCACGCGCATCTGCTCCACAGTCCGTCGCTTATCCCTGGTGCTCATGGCTTCCAAAGCCCGAGCTGGAGCAATGACTTCAGTGCTATAGCCGCCTCACTCATACTGCCCCCTGGGCCACACGCGACGGACACTACGGATGAGCCCGGCGCCAGCGGCGCCCTCGCGCAATGCGGCATTACCACGCTGGGCCCAAGCAGTCACAGCGGGGCAGGCCAGCAGCAGCAGCAGCCTACGGCCTGGCAGCCACTGGGCACGCTATATGACATCGAGGCGCACGTCACGTTTCCGCAAGGTCTACCTTGCAGTGGCAGTGGGGGAACCAGCGCAACCGCACGGTACGGTAGTTTGGGTGCGGGTGGGTAGTGTGGAATGGATACTGGGTGGACCACCTGCCAAAGTTTTTGGGGTGCCACTCACTTCAACAGAGAGCGTGTATGGGTGTATTTTCAAGGCCAGAGCGTCCTGAAATGTGTCGCATGCTAATAGCTAGGTACTTTCATTTATCTCGCAACCCTTGTTGGACATTTAAGGCCTCGAGGCAACAGACCCATGTAGCATATTAGCATGTTCCTAACCCTCTCCACCTTCCCTGAATGCAGATCGGCGAAGGCGAGGTTGTTAGAGAGGTTCGACGGCAGCGGCGGAGCAGGGACCGCCACAGCACGACAGGCGCAGAATGTGGACCCATTTTGCTGCAGCTTCACGCCCGTGTCAGACGACTTCCTGGGGTCGCCAACCTGGGCACGTGCGTATCTCTAATCCATAGGCGCAATGCGGATCAGACTGAACGGCATTACCGAAACCTACATACCGAAACATGACCCGACAGCTCTGCCTTCATGTTCTTAACGACGTTGTGGAGAAACTATTTCCATGCATCGCGTGATGAATGACACCTGAGGACTGCTGGTTTTCGTGCGATGAACGTTTTCGTCCCTGTCCACAGTCCATAAAGTATTGGGTGCAGCGTACACACTTGTATGAGCACCACGATGCGTGGGGTTTATGGTCATGGGCGAAGTTCAATGGCACCGTGTCATATGACTCTTGGGCTTTCCGCGGATGAGCGTTGAAGTGGTGCGGTGTGCAAGGGACGGGAGTCTTCACGTAGTTAGGCCAGGAGAGCTTTACAGGGTACGTTGATTGACGTGCCCCGTAGAGATAAACAGTTTTGCAGATGTTTTCGTAGTGATTTGTACATTTTTTGCGCCATGACACAGGCGCACAGCAAGCTGTTATTGGACTTCAAATTGCGCGCGCGTCGAAAGACTGACATTGTTGTGAGGGTGGAACGCTAATGACGTCTCTCGATAGGTCGTATCTCCCGAGCGCATATCGGTTTTGGTTTTCGTCTACACCGATGGTCTTAAAACATGGTCAATGTTTATGGTCTATTTGTTGATACCTGCGTGGGCTGTTAAGGTATGTCCCAGTTGATCGCCTTCAAATTGTCATAGGTTGAAAAGAATTGGAACTCGGCGGGTGGATATTCCGGCGTCGTTCCTTCAGTTCTCTTCACAATTGCATAAGCATAACCATATCCTTAACCAAACGGGAGAATGTCTCAGGCTCTCAGCGCAACCATTGTAACTGTAAAGACTCGGACTATACAATCCAACGACCGTAACGACTCTGTAGGTCCAGGTTACTAACATGGGCTAGCTTTTAGAGATTAATTCTTGAAAGTGTAGTAATGCGTTAATCGTGGAAAATTAAGTTTTCTTTGACAGATGATAGAGCCGTGACAGGAAATGTTAACCGGCCTCTCCCACCCGGCGACAAGACGAAAATCCGCAATCGTTGATTCATCGCGTAGCATCACTTTATCACGATGTCGTGCTGTATGGACGTTTGCGCTGGACAGATGCATAGGGCAAGCATGTTGGAGCCGCCAAGGTGAGCGCATGCTTGGCAATAATGTCTACGAGAATAACTGTATTATTTTCCATGTGATAACATCTACGTGGCAATCCGATTAATTGAGCGGAGATGAGTTCTGGGATACAGAGTATTGGCTTCGGTTTCCTTGATCCAGGCGCTCACTGCACGCGTTCAGCTCGATTTGCCGTTCTTGGAGGATATTGGAGGAAGGCATCCGTCCTTAGCGATTTCGGTAAGCTCTGGCTTGTAATGCACGGGTACCCTACCTTTCGCCTGTTCATTCTGGTGCATTGCACCGAATGAGAGACCTACTCCAGACAAATATTATTATTTTCTGGATGCGCACCACGCGCATCACCGTCCTCCCCGCCTCTCCACCAGCCGCACCGGAAGCACACGCACACACCCCGCTACTCCTGCCGCAAATGCCGGGCAGGTCCCACGGGCTCAGCCACTTCACGGCGTCCATGCGCACCAGCTTCTGCAGCCACAGCCGCAGCCTTAGCCACAGAACAAGGATCACAGGGTGGCGATGGCGCAGGGCCAACCGACACGGCTGACCCAGATGCCGTCCTGGACGGCTTCGTCTCCGCCTTCTCACTACCCCGCCAGCAGCTCCGCATGGTGTTGGAGCGACAACCCGGGCTTCAGCGCGCCAACCCACAACTCCTGGCGCAGCGTATCGACGCGTACACACGCGCCACTGGCCTTGACGCCTACCAGCTGCTCTACATGGTCGCCCGCCAGCCCACCTTCCTACGGCTCTCCCCATCCATGTTTAAGGAGCGCTGCGAGGCACTTGCTAAGAGCCTGGCCCTGGGCCTCGATGACGTGTTGAAGCTGCTCGTATCACAGCCGGCGTTTCTGGAGGTCCAACCTGACTCGTTGCGGGCAGTTTCGGGGCGAGTGGCGGGAGAGCTAGGGGTGCGGCCAGGAGCCGCGTTGCGGGTGCTGGCGCGGCTGCCGCCGGGGGAGTTGCGCGGCGTTTTTACGCGGCAGCAGCCAGGGCTTCTGCGGGAGCGACTGACGGGGCTGCGGCGGATGCTGTTGAGGATGTTCGGGCCGCGGCGTGCAACGCCGGAGGCGGCGCTGCTACTGGTGGCGCGATGTCCGCCGCTGCTGGCGCTGCCAACCAAGTACGTGGAGTCGTCTCTGGCGGCTCTGATGAGCATTCCGCCGACGAAGGGCGCGATGACTGCAGCGGCCGCCGCAGGTGGCGGCGGCAGCAGCGGCAGGGTTCGTGGCCGCTCCAGAATGCTCCGCGCCATCCTATCCTGCCCCCATGTGCTGACGTTGCCGCCAGAGACGCTTCGAAGCCGGTTCGTAATGCTGGCAGCTGCAACGCGCATCGACATGCCGGCTGTAATTTCGATGCTGCTGTTGCAGCCACGCCTGCTGCTTGCTGACCCGGCACGAGTACGGCAACGGTTGGAGGGGCTCACCTTTTCGCTGATGGTGCCGCGCAGCGCAGCACTGGACATGGTTGTACGGCAGCCGCAATTGTTGCTGTACACCACGGAGTCGCTGGCGGAGAACTGGGCGGGACTGCAGCAACTTTTAGGTATAACGTTTGACTCGGCACTTTCCATCGTGACAAGGTGCGTGCCCACCACACGCGCGTGGCTGTCTAATTGGGCCAGCTCAGATGCGAAAAAGAGGTAGTTGAAGTATATGGCGACGGGTCCGGGCCCGTGCAAAAGCATCGGCCAATCCAGTACCAAGCGCCAACCAGATGCGCATCGGGAACATCGAGAATCAGCAACCTCGAGAACTGTAAACGAGTACCAAGAACAAGGAAAGCGTAAAAGCCCCTCCCCACTTATGATGCCCTTTTGCACCGGGGCCCTATTACCCTGCAACGCCCCGCGGCCCCGCAGGCATCCCAACATCCTGTGCACCTCCCCGGTCAACCTGACCTCCAAGTTGGCCGCCCTGGAGTCCATCTTTGCGCTGCCCCGGCCCCGGGCTGTGCTGCTGGCGGTGGAGAAGCCGATCATCCTCACCATGTCGGAGCAGCGGTTTCAGGTCTGTGTGTGTGTGTTTTGCTTTTTATAAAGCAACAAGAGGTCCCGCCTTAACGAACCAAGAGGTGTGTGCGGCCCTCTGTGCGTATGTATGTCTGTTTTGTCGGATGATGTAGCGGGTGGTGCAGCTGGCGGTCGTCCTCGTGATTTTAGTGGTGACGGTGATGGTTGCCATAGTGGCGCTGGCAGTAGCAGTGGTGATGGTGGTAGTGGTGGTGGTAGCGATGCTGGTTTCCAGGAAAATGCCGTCACGTACTTTACACGACCCCTGTCTCTTTAGAGGGATGTCGTTTTTGAGTCTGGTGCCCGTCCCTTTGTCTCCAGTTGGTCTGCAGTTGGTGTTTTAGCCCTCGGCAGCTGTTTGCTTGAACTTGGTGGTTAAAGACAGGTCCACCCTGCCCGCTTGGTGTTCCCATTCGTATCGGATTTGGGAACACAGAACACCTTTCGAGTTTTGGCGCCGATTCTGGCGCTGCCCAGCCCCGCGCATCTGGGCCGCCTGGTGTGTCGGGAGCCGTACCTTCTGCTGGAGAGCACCGTACAGCTGACGGGCAAGGTGAAGACGACGATGTGGAGGGAAAGAAGGCTCGGAAACTTGCAAACGTTCAAGGAGTATAGACAGGGAGGGAAAGGCGAGGAACGTTTGAAGACAGTGGGGCAGCTTGGATGTAGTGAAGGTGTCTGAAAATAGTGGCAACGGATTCGGATTAGACGCCGGGGCGATGGTGGGGATGGGGATGGGATGGGGGTGGGGATTGGTCGAATGGGGTTGAGCCTGGGTTGTGACCCGCCGGGCTGAAAGAGATTTGATGGAGCGGACGAGGAGGGGAAGGTTTGGGCTGCTAGGGCCGGCGAGTGAAGGCAGGCGGCGCAGAGGCAGGCGGACATCCGCGCCCTCCGACACTTAAAAGATGCACAGACGAGACCAACTGAGAAGTTCACCGTCAGGCAGGGAATACATACAGATCCGGCAAAGCGGCAGACAAATAGACAGACAGACAGATATGTAGACAGGCGGATATACATTTGAGCGCCGTGAGGGGCTTACTTTTGATTCCGACTTTGATCACCCGGGCAGGTGAGTCTGGCGGCCTCGCTACTGGGCATATCGGAGAGCGATGTGGGCGGCATGTTGGCGCGTTCTCCTAACTTCATTACCAAGGAACTCAGGTACGGATACGAGTACGGTGCTGCGCTGGGACCTTCATATTCATGTATGCGGCCGTTTATGTATATATTTATTAGTGTGTGTATGTATGTATGTATTGTCGCCCGCCCGGTTCCCCCTTACGCCACACTTGTTATTTTGCTTTGGGCACCAGCAACTGAGTCTAAGTATTTTTCAGTTTGCACATGACCCCCTGTCTTTCCCTTTCCGCGTCGACAGGTTTCTAAAACCCTAAAACCTCCCTAAAACCCAACCCCCTTTTCACCCGTCACTTTTCGTTCCTCCGTTCCTCCTCCCGGCCCCTCTGGCAGCTACTGGCAGACCAATCTGGACACGGTGACGGGGGGTCTGGGTGTCAGCCTGGAGCGAGCTCGTGAGGTGGCGGTACGGCACCCGTACCTACTGGCCGCGGAGCCCACGGAGCTGTTGCGGTGAGCTCTCGGGAGCTGATTTGGGTTGTGATTGGGCTGGGAATGTCGTTGCGTCGCGTGCGGATTTATGCTGTATGGCGAAAGTATCTTGTGTGAATGAAAACGTTGGAAGGAGCAAGGGGGGCTTTAGAGGAGCGGGGTGGAGGCATCGCGGACTCAGGGGGTAGCAGGGCAGGGGTAGGGCTGGGGATGGGGATGGGCAGGGGTAGGGCTGTGAGCCTTAATACACTGTCAGGGGACCCTCCCGTGCCTCTGCCTGACGTATTTGCTTCAAACGTGGGCCCCTGACGGACACTTTGCCTGCTTTATTCGCGCTGGCCGCTGCGTTAGCTCTCCCGTCTGCGGGTATTGGCATTGGCAATGGCCTGCGGGCCCCTCTCTTCTTCTCGTGGCGTTATCTCAATCACCTCCTACCCTAAGCGCCATGCTGCTCCGTCATTCACATATGCGCTCCTTTGTCTGGTTACATGGTGGCGACTGCGTTGTCGTCGTGGTGGCCGTCATCGGCGGCGGCGGCGACGGTGGCTTTCGGTTGCTGTGGTCGTTGTGTTGTAGAGTGGCCTCGGCCAACATGGCCCTGGTCCGCAGCTCCCCCGCCTGGATGAGCGCACTGGAGGGGGCTGACGCGGAGTCGCTGTTCAAGTGCCTGGCGGGATTCAACGACCGTAACCGGGAGCATCTGCAGTACCTGGCGGTGGGTCCTGGCGGCCGCTTGGGACGGGATGAAAAAGTCAAGGAAAAGGAAACATCCAGCAACATCTGAACGGTGGTTGGGTGTGGAGGTCAGCCGGGGGATGGGGAGGGCTGAGAAGTACCAAGCGGGTCCTGGCAAGGACTAGATGCTTGGACGGCGGTGGAAAACGCGAGAACTAGGAAATATCCTGGAAATATTGATGTTTTCCTTCTCCGCTTCCACCTTCAAACCCCTTTGGGTAGGTAGGCAATGAGGGGGCCGGGAAGGAGGGCTGCTGGGGGTGCTGGAGGATTGAATGCGTTGTGCTGACATTAGACTAAGCTAGGGGGGGAAAACGTAATAAGTGTGTCCCCAAACGCGCTAAAGTTGGCGGATGGGTAGTTAATTAGGTGGTTGACAGCTGGGTGGGGTGACCTGGGCAGTGATGGGTTCACGCACGCCGCCCGTGCTGCACGCGTAGGCCCACTCCCGGGGCTTGGCTTTCCAGGAGCCGCAGACGTTCACCGCTGAAGCTAGATCACCACGTGCCATGTCGCGGACTATTGTCTTACGTAGCTCCTTGCCATACTGCGCCCTTGCCTGTCATACCAGGATGCGGGGCTGCAGTCGCAGGTGTCCTTCCTGCACCCTGTTATTTGGGACCGGGTTGCATTCACGAAGCGCTTCCCGCGCTTTGCGAATTGGCAGGCGGAGCAGCGCGCCGCCACTACGGCCCGCAACGGCTTGCCGCTGCCGCGACGGCCACCCGCATGGCCGCCAGCTCTCAGCGCTGACGCCGCCGCTGCCGCTGCCGATGCTTCCGGGGACGCGTCTGAGAGTGCCGAAGCCGCTGAGGAGAACGAAGTCGAGAACGGGTCCGAGCCTGGCGTCCAGTCCGCCGCTGAATCGGTATTGCACATTGACGTACGGAATACGGTTGCCGCTGTGTTTTCGGAGGCAGCAACAGCAAGTGATGACGTGGTAGATTCGGAGCTGACAATAGGCAAGCAGCAGCAGCAGCAGCAGCGGCATTTGGATTTCGCAAGCGGAACGGCGGGTGGGTTTGATTTGACGGATGGCAAGGAGGTGATGATGGCTGTTGGCGGCGGCCGCGGTGCAGGGACAGGACCAGCGGGGATGCGGAAATACATCCCTAGGCGACGACAAGTGAGGCGCATGCCAAGCCTGAGTAGTTCAGATGAGGAGGCACAACAACAGCAGTAGTGGCAAGCGATTGGTAGATGCATTGGTGTTGGGGGATCACAGCAATTGTGGCAAGAACGACTGGCGAGGGTGGGTGTTATTTGTCTGGATATGCCTTTTGGTGTTGGCCGCTTATGGGTTGACAGCGAGGTGGGCGCGCGGCACGAAGGTTGTGCCCAAGGGTCCTGGCCAATGGGAAGGTTGCGTCTTTGTTCTGGAATGGGTCAGAGGCGCGCGGTGGGCACTGGCTTAATTAGCACTTGGGCATAAACTGGTAACAGTTGCCGAGTGCAGGCGAACTTTGGCGCTGATCCAGCTTAATTGCCAGAAATAACAAAATAATCAATGACCCAAATGTTTCCATGAGCCGGCTGGCGTCCTTGGCAGAAAGTAGTCATGGACAAGTAAAGCAGCAGCTAGGCGTCGTATGAAGTCGTGGCCCATGTAACGCCGCTAAGGCGGCCCTTGGCTCACCGGGCCAACGGTATCGTACCAACGGTACATCCAAGAACTATTCATAATCTTCCAATACCAAACGGTATTTATCAATACCACCTTTTTATCGTTGGATAATTTCCTTTTTCGCAACTGCTTGCCAACTGCAAGCTTTGTTACAATTTTGGTATCTTAGACCAACCGGTCAAACGACCTCGGAGTCAAGCACTCCATCGCTTCCGCAAACACATTCCAACTTAAGAAACATTTTCTATCTGACTTACATGGCGAGCCCAGGGAATACCATGCGCACCCAGTCGGCGAAGGCCGACCATGAGCGCTATCAGCTGCGCCAGGTGAGCCCCTCTAGGGCAAAGGAACTGGTACAAAAGGTCCAGGAAATGTATGAGAAGTACGTAAGGCGTGCCCAGCGTAAGGGCATAACACCGCCGTCGCGCATGTTTGACAAAGTCAGACAATTCTGCGACGAGCAAGGCTATCGCTCCGCACTAGGCTTCCTAATGGAAGCTAATGAGGAACTCTCCTATGTGCAGAAAAGCCGCGAACTGCGGGAGCGTTTTAGCCACTGCGGCGCATGACGCCGACAACAACGCCAATGGAGCGCACGACCCAACAGGTCCCGGACCCTCGCGCCCACGTACTGCGCAGCCAACTGCTGCCGCCGCGGAG